TCCAGGGAGACCTCAGAGCCCCTTCCAGTGCCTGAAGGGGCTCCAGGCAAGCTGGAGAGGGACTTGGGACAAGGGATGGAGGGACAGGACACCAGGAATGGCTTTCCAGTGGAAAAGTAGAAATTTAGGTGCGATATTGGGAAGGAATTCCTGGCTGTGAGAGTGGTGAGAGGCTGGGATGGACTTCCCAGAGAATCTGTGGTTGCCCCATCCCTGGAATTGTCCAAGGTCAGGAACTGGAGCAACCTGGAATAGTGGAAGGTGTCCCAGCTCATGGAAAGGCACTGGAAGAAGATGACCCTCAAAGGTCCCTTCCCACATGGAAAAATTCCATGATTTTCCATGATAATCGCCATTACTGATCCATGGTGGACCTGGAGTCATGCTACCACTTGGAATTTTGGGGATAGGACACTCAACTTCCCAAAATCCCACGGCCAGAGATAGGACCACAGTGATTCCATGGCAAAACCACAGGAGCACTTTTCCCATTTTCCATGGAGTGGCTGAGGATCCATCCCTCTCCCGGCCCTCATTCCATGATTTTTTCCCCATTTAAAAACTCACTTCCGGCTTTTCCAAGGTCTGGCATCAAGGAATTGTGGTTTTCTTCCCATATTTTGAGTCAAATATTCCTGAAAAATAAGTAATAAATAAAATCATGGGTGTAATAATTAAAGGAATATTAATGAAGTCGATAATAAATAAAATAATGGGGATAATGAATAAAATAAAGGGTGCAATAATGAACATTAATTAATTAATCAATAATAAATAAAATAACAGGCAGGAGTTGGAACAGATGAGCTTTAAAAGCTCCTTTCACCCCAACCCATTTAATAATTCCATTATTAATTTAAAATTTTATGAAGCTTTGCAGGAGGTTTTAATTAATTTTAAGCAGGGATAGAAGATGAGAAACAAGATGGGAAATTGGGAAATAAGATGGGAAATGAGATGGGAATTGTCCTCTCCTGGGAATTTTGCACTGATGGGGGGATTTGGCTTCTTGGACGTTGGGAAATCTTGGATATTTTGGTTTGTGATTCCAAAGGGATCACCTGGAAGTGGGAATTTGGGGAGCAGAGCCCCCCAACTGCTGCGGAGCCACTTCCGAGGTCTCCAAAATCTTGCTGGGAATCAGGAATTCAAATTGCTCCTCATAAAAACATGGAATGCTTTAGGTCAGAAGGGACCTTCAGGATCATCCTGCTCCCTTCCATTGCCACGCCCCAGCCCCTCAATATCCTGGGAATCCCAAATCTTCCCCGGGCTGGGACAGACCAGGTGCCGTTGGCCACCTTGGCCGGTTCTTTGCCCAATCCCAATTCTCCAAAGCCGGAAGTGGCTTCCAGTTTCGGTTCCTGGCCGGATCGGATCCGAGTTTTGCGGAATGAGACGAGCCACGATTTAGGACCGACTCTCCTCCAACTGCTTTTAGTCTCTGTTCTGCACGGAAAAGCTTAATTATGGATTTTCCTCTTATTTCCGAGAGAAGCTGGACACGTTTTCCTCCTTTAAGGGGGTTTGATCCAAGCTGGGATCCCACACCCTGAAAATCCCACTCTTTTTTTCCATCCAGGGGTGTTTAAATCCCGTTGGAAAATGGAGCAGCTGAGGGCTCGGGACCAGGCTGACACCTGGGACCCCCTCCAGGGACTTTTTTTCCTGCAAATTGGGCGTTTCTGAAGAGCCTCCAGGGGTTCATTCCCAGGAAAAGGCGTCGGGATGCGATCCATGTGATCCATCATTGTCTGACTCCCTGGATGTGTCAGGTTTAAGTGGCACCTTCCTTGATAAGCCTCACTTAGCTTTTTATTCCTCCTCATCTATTTCTAGACGTTCCTTAAAAGCCTTGGAAATGCAGACGAGGATAAATCCCAAATAGCTTAATTTAATTCCTTTTTTATATATATATATATAAAAACCCACACAAAAGAGGATTTTGAATAAAGACACGGATCCCAGAACTTCTCAGGTACCCTCTGGATTATCCAGAGGTGATGAATGCAGTGTTTGGGGCAATCTGAAAAATCGGTGGAATTCTCAGTTTCTTGGGATTACAACTTCTCTTAATCCTCTTTGGAATTTCTAAGCTCCCATTTGCTGCTGGATGATCCCAAAAATCCCTTTTGTTGTGTTCCTGAGTGAGAGGGGGTCAGGGCAATTCCAGGAAAACACGGATGGGAGGAAAGGATGGAGAGCAGCCCTGGGGAGAAGGGATTTGGGGGTGTGGGTGGGTGAGAAGCCCCACATGACGCATCCATGTGCTCTGGTCCTGGAAATTCCCGATGTTCTGGGTACATCCCACAGCGTGGGCAGCAGGAAATGGGGAATTCTGCTCTCTGCCCCGCTCAGGTGAGATCCCACCTGGAATTCTGCACCCAGCTCCAGGATTCAACAGCTGGAATTGCTGGAGCAGATCCAGAGGAGGCCATGGAGTGGGTCCAAGGGCTGGAGCCAGGCTGGGAGAGCTGGGAATGTCCAGCCTGGAGAAGGGAAAGATCCAGGGAAACCTCAGAGCCCCTTCCAGTGCCTGAAGGGGCTCCAGGAGAGCGGGAGAGGGACTTGGGACAAGGGATGGAGGGACAGGACACAGGGAATGGCTTCCCACAGCCAGAGGGCAGGAAGGAATTCCTGGTTGGGAGGGTGGTGAGGGGCTGGGATGGAATTCCCAGAGAAGTCGTGGTTGCCCCTGAATCCGTGGAATTGTCCAAGGCCAGGTTGGCCAGGGCTTGGAGCACCCTGGGAGGGGGGAAGGTGTCCCTTGCCCATGGGACCATCCCATCCCATCCCATCCCATCCCATCCCATCCCATCCCATCCCATCCCATCCATGATTCCATCCCATTCCATCCCTTCCCACGGAGCCCAGGACACGCTGGGCCTGTTCAGCCCTCACCATCTCCATCCCCGCCACCATCAGGTTTCGGTGGTTGTCACCCAGCCCAGCTGTGCTGGGGCCGGTGGTTTTGGGATGGTGCCGGAGGTGGATCCCACGGAGCCGACGCCTTTTCCTGCTGTCGAAATCGGGACAGAGGGAAGGAGCTTTGGGATCTCTGGAGTGCCGGGGAGCTGCGCTGCTCCAGCTGGGCCGGGGGAGGTCAAATCCACAAATTTTGGAGTTTTTGTGGGAAATGCTGCCGGGTTTGGTGGTGTGGGTGGCAGCGCCGGTCATGCAGGAGAAGTTCACCTCCAGGTTGGTGATTCCAGTCCTTCCAGTCCTTCCCATTCCCTGATGGAATGTGCTTTGATCCCCGGCTCTGGACCTTCAAGGGTTAGGGGTGGATGCCGTGATCCCGGGTGGACATTGGGGTGCTCCAACCCGGGCATGTGTTTTGCAGACTTGCTGGATTTCCCTGGGAGCTGGAAATCAGGGATTGGTTGGAAACTCTTTGGAAAAATCCTCTGTTTTGTGTAAATAATTCTGCGGGACTCGATGGGGGTAGCAGAAAGAGTTGTGAGGTCGCTCTTCATCCCGCGCTCGCTTTGATCGCGCTCGCATTGATCACGGAACCATTGGATGGTTGGGTTGGGAGGGATCTTGGTTGAATTTCCTCTCTTTCCTGTTTTTTTTTTCCAGGCTGGAATGGGTGGGAATCATCAAGCCTTGGACATGGGAGACTTTATAGGGGTGGAAAGAGAAGTTGTCAAATTGCTCTTCTCCACCCCATGAGCACCGAGTCACGGAATCATTGGGTGGTTGGGGTTGGGAGGAACCTTGTTTGATGCTTCCCCTCTCTCCCTGTTCTTTTCCAGGCTGGAATGGGTGGGAATCATCGAGTCTTGGATATGGGAGATTTGATGGGGTTGGAAGGAAGAGTTGAGAAGTCGCTCTTCTCCATCCCGCGCTCACATCAAATCACGGAATCATTGGATGATTGGGGTTGGGAGGGACCTTGTTTGATGCTTTCCCTCCCTCCCTGTTCTTTTCCACACTGGAATGCGTGGGAATCATCGAGTCTTGGACACGAGAGACTCGATGGGGGTGGAAGGCAGAGTTGAGAAGTCGCTCTTCTCCATCCTGCGCTAGCGGCAAATGATGGAATCATCGGGTGGTTGGGGTTGGGAGGGACCTTGGTTGATGCTTCCCCTCTCTCCCTGTTCTTTTCCAGGCTGGAATGGGTGGGAATCATCGAGTCTTGGATATGGGAGACTCAATGTGGGTGGAAGGAAGAGTTGAGAAGGCGCTCTTCTCCATCCTGCGCTCACATCAAATCACAGAATCATTGGATGATTGGGGTTGGGAGGGACCTTGGTTGATGCTTCCCCTCTCCCTGTTCTTTTCCACGCTGGAATGGGTAGGAATGCTCGAGTCTTGGATATGGGAGACTCAATGTGGGTGGAAGGAAGAGTTGAGAAGGCGCTCTTCTCCATCCTGCGCTCACATCAAATCACAGAATCATTGGATGATTGGGGTTGGGAGGGACCTTGGTTGATGCTTCCCCTCTCCCTGTTCTTTTCCACGCTGGAATGGGTAGGAATGCTCGAGTCTTGGATATGGGAGACTCAATGTGGGTGGAAGGAAGAGTTGAGAAGGCGCTCTTCTCCATCCTGCGCTCACATCAAATCACAGAATCATTGGATGATTGGGGTTGGGAGGGACCTTGGTTGATGCTTCCCCTCTCCCTGTTCTTTTCCACGCTGGAATGGGTAGGAATGCTCGAGTCTTGGATATGGGAGACTCGATGGAGGGGGAAGGCAGAGTTGAGAAGTCGCTCTTCTCCACCCCGCGCTCATGCCAAATCACAGAATCGTCAGGTTGGGCGACCTCCCAAGATCGCCGGGTTGACGTTTCCCTTCTCTCCTTGTCCTTTCCCAGGCTGGAATGGGTGTGAATCATTGAGTCTTGGATATGGGAGACTCGATGGGGGTGGAAGGCAGAGTTGAGAAGTCGCTCTTCTCCACCCCGCGCTCATGCCAAATCACAGAATCGTCAGGTTGGGCGACCTCCCAAGATCGCCGGGTTGACGTTTCCCTTCTCTCCTTGTCCTTTCCCAGGCTGGAATGGGTGGAAATCATCGAGCCTCGGACCCGGGAGCGCATGTACGCCAACCTCATCACGGGGGAGTGCGTGTGGGACCCGCCCGCCGGGGTGCGGATCAAGCGCACCAATGAGAACCAGTGGTGGGAGCTCTTCGACCCCAACACCTCCCGCTTCTACTACTACAATGCCACCACGCAGAGGACGGTGTGGCACCGTCCCCAGAACTGCGACATCATCCCGCTGGCCAAGCTGCAGACGCTGAAGCAGAACACGGAGTCGCCGCGGGCTTCCACGGAAAACAGCCCCGGCAGGAGCAGCAATGTCAGCAGGGAGGGAAGCACCAGCTCGTCCTTGGAGCAGGAGCTGGAGGGCAACGAGAAGGTGCAGGAGCAGCGCTCGAGCCGCCAGTCCAGCCAGTATTCCGTGGTGAAGGAGGAAACGGAAAGGTAAAGGTGGGATTGGGGGGAAAATCGGGAATTCCCAATCCTGGTGGTCTCCAGGAGAGATCCTGCAGGTCTTGGGAAAAGGTGGTTTGTGGATGGTTCCTCCTGCTCGAGGCTTGGTGGGTCTCCACCGAGTTGGATCATCCATAAAACAAGCAGGAAGAGGGAAAAACATCAGGAAGAGGTGTTTCTCCACCTTAGGGATATTTTAGATGTTCCCTGCGGGAAGGTTCCCTAAAGGAATAATTTCTCATCCTTTTGAAATTCGTTTTTAGGATTGGAAATTCGGGTTTAGAGCTCGGTGTGGTTTTAAATGCTTTCCCTGGATAAGATCTCCCTGAGGAGTGGGGATGATTCACGGTCCAACCAGGGCTTGTCCCACAGGTCTGGGGAGCTCCTGGCAGGGATAATTTCCCTCGGGAAGGAGAAGGGAGTCAGTGCTCCATTCCCAAGGACAGCATTCGGAGATGTTCGTGTCACTCCTTCATTGTGGTTTCACCTTTTATGGATTAAAAGCTGCAAATCACGGAATCATGGAATGGTTTGGGTTGGAAAGGAGCTTTAAAATCCATCTTTTTTCACCTCCTACCATGAGCAGGGACGCCTCCCACCATCCCAGCCTGACTTGGGACAATTCCAGGGACGGAGCAGCCACAGCTTTTCTGGGAGACCTGAGGCGGGTCATTAATTAATGTGTTTGTCTTCTCTTAATTGATGCTTTTGACCACGTTAAGGACCCAGCCAGGTTGAGGAGACCAATCCGAGGCGGAATTCCCGTTCCCAGCTCCTGCTGCCAGAAACTGTGGCTGGATGGGAACAGGAATTCCCGGCTTGGCAAGTGCTTTCATGTGGGACATCAGAGGCGGCCTCGGCTCCGCACCTCGGGGGTGGTTCCACCTTCCCGAGGTCCCGGGAGAGGCTCTGATGGAATCTCTGAGCCTGGGAATGGGGGGTCCTCCTGGGGCAGAGGGATTTTGGGCAGGGAGAGGGGTTTGGGGTCTTTCACTGCTGGCAGATTGGAATCATGGAGTCATGGAATTACAGAATCATGGAATGGTTTGGGTGGGAAGAGGCCTGAAAGATCATGGAATTTCAGCCTTTTCCATGGGCAGGGACACCTTCCACTATCCCAGGTTGTTCCAAGCACCATCCAACCCAGCCTGGGACATTTCCAGAGATCCAGGAACAGCCACAGCTTCTGTGGGAATTCCATCCCAGCCCCTCACTACCCTCCCAACCAGGAATTCCTTCCCAAATCCCATCTATCCCTGCCCTGTGGGAGTGGGAAGCCATTCCTTGTGTCCTGTCCCTACATCCCTTTGTCCCCAGTCCCTCTCCAGCTCTCCTGGAGCGCTTCAGGCACTGGAAGTGGCTCTGAGGTCTCCCTGGATCCTTCCCTTCTCCAGGCTGGGCATTCCCAGCTCTCCCAGCCTGGCTCCAGAGCAGAGGGGCTCCAGCCCTTGGAGCATCTCCGTGGCCTCCTCTGGAATTGCTCCAACATCTCCACATCCTTTTGTTGTTGGATCCTGGAGCTAGACATAAAATTCCAGGTGGGATCTCACCTGAGCAGGTCAGAAGGCAGAATTCCCCTTTTCCTGGTGGGGAATGAGGCCAGGAGATGTTGATGGAGCAGGATCCTATTCCCAAAGTGGCGTGAGGGGTTAACAAGGATCGGGGTATGGATTTTAAATTCCCTGGGTTTTGCTGCAAGAACAGGGGTGGGATCAGCAGGAAAGGATCATTCCTGAGGTGGAATCAGGAATTTCCTGAGGAAAGGATCATTCCTGAGGTGAAATCAGGAATTTCCTCTGGAAAGGATCATTCCCAAAGTGGGATCAGGAGTTTCCTGAGGAAAGGATCATTCCCAAGGTAGAATGCAGGAGTTTCCTGGGAAAAGGATCATTCCTGAGGTGGAATCAGGAATTTCCTCTGGAAAGGATCATTCCCAAGGTGGGATCAGCAGCTCTCTGGGGGGATTCCCACATGGGATCCAATTCCCACATCGGACCCAGCATGGACACTCCAGGTCACTAATTCCTTGGTGTCCTCCACCCACACGTTCCCTGTTCCCATTATGGGATGCAAATCTGCTGGATCAGCTTGGAGGAGAGCCAGATTCTCAAATAAAAATATTTAATCCTTGGAAATCTCCTGGAAAAGAAGGAATTCAGCCCTGGGCTGGGTTTGGCCAATGGGAGGTTGTGTGTCCTCGAATATCCAGGAATTCCAGGTCTTGGCCTTTCCAGGGTCTGGGATTGAGCAGATCCTGGGTCTTGCAGCTTTAAAAATTCATTAAAAATTTTTAAAAATTTAGATGCCACTAGAGGGAGCAGAAATTCCTGCTGACTGGATCCCAGTTCCGAAGTCACCAGGATATCAGAGATAAAGCACAGCATTTAAATCTTCCTGGATTAAGTGTGGCTGAGCTGGAATATCCAAGGGGAATTCTCTCACAACCCAATCCCTGGAATGTGCCCGCCACAGCTCTCTGGGATCAAAAACTTCCTCCCTTACAGGCAGCAGCCATTTCCTGACTCCAAAAGATCCCAAAAAAGCAAATTTGTGCAATAAAAGATGCCTCAAATCTCTACAATACCCAATTTGAGCGTCCCACAATTTTTTCCTTGGAATTCTCTCAGTTTATTTCCTTTCCCGGGAGGCGCTGGGAAGAACCTGCCGTGCTGGGGTTCGGAAAACAGGTGGATCAATGGCATAAATCTCTGCTGCCTGAGGGTTTTCCAGGTCCCTGCAGGGATTCCCAGCCTTCCTCCAAGACGAGAAGGAAGAGAAACCCAGGACATGGAGTTGCTCCGGAAAACCGCTCGGAAGGACGGAGGCATGGAGAGGATCCTCAAGGTCTTCCTTCCCAATGACCTGCCTCCAGCAGGAGCCTCAGGCTTGGAATTCCGGGCTTTTCTTCATCCAAATGTTGGATTTTCACAGCTGGGTGATGTCTCCTGGTGTGAGGAGCCAGGAGGAACTTGGGAGAACTGGGAATGTTCATCTGGAGAAGGATCCAGGGAGAGCTCAGAGCCCTTCCAGTGCCTGAAGGGGCTCCAGGAGAGCTGGAGAGGGACTTGGGATGAGGGATGGAAGAACAGGACACAGGGAATGGCTTTCCACTGCCAGAGGGCAGGGATAGATGGGATATTGGGAAGGAATTCTTCCCTGTGAAGATGGTGAGAGTCTGGGATGGAATTCCCAGAGAATCTGCGGCTGCCCCTGGATCCCTGGAAGTGTCCAAGGCCAGCTTGGAACAACCTGGGATAGGGATTTTTCGTTCCAACCAAAACCATGGGTTTGGGCATTTGATGAAGTTTTTCTGTGAAATTTCCATGAAATTTCCATGATTTGATGAAGTTTTTCTTCCACTAAGGAGCAAAAAAAAAAAAAAAAAAAAATTTTTTAAGCTAGGTTTCATCCCATGAAATCTTATTTAAATGTTTCTGGCTAAGCTCAGCTCATCTGGTTGGAAAAGGGAATTTGGGATCAATGGGAAAGTTTTTATTGGAATTCACACCCGGGGCCTCCCTTAAAATTTAGGATTTAGGAACCAGAGCATCTCCAGGTTTGGCTGGAGGTGAATCCAGCTCTGGAAGGGACTGTTGGAGGCAATTCTCGGAATTCTTGCAGTTCAGCTTCTTTTTTTTAGCTCCCTTTTTTTGCTGCTGTGGCAAGAAATCCCTGCTTTTTCCATTGTCCCACTGGGACAGCTTTCCCAAAACTTGGCCTTGGACACTTCCAGGGATGGGGCTTTGCTGGAATTCTTTGGTAAGATCTCCCAGCATTTCCAAATTTATCCAAAGATTTGATTTTCCCCCCATGGGAGGTTTTCCTACTCTAAAATTCCTTTGAGCTTCAACTTCCTTTCCCCTTCTCCAGCACTGGGGGTGCTCCAGCAGTGCCGGGTCTCATCCCACCCATCCGGCTGAGCTTTCCATGGAATTGTTGAAGTCGGAAACGACTTCCAAGATCCTCAAATCCATTTTCCAGGCTCCTTCCTTAATCCAATTCCTCGCCGCGATCCTTGAGTTTATTGAGACCGTGAAGCTCCCAGGGCATGGAAACATCCGAGGAAATATTTGGGGATAACCAAGTGGAAAACACATTCCCGGCATAACCCAAACAAGACTGAGCTCCCCTTCCTCATTCCATCCTCAAATACTTCCCAAAAAAAAAAAAAATTTCTCATATCCGGCATTTCTTGCTCCGAGTTGGGATGGAAATTGGGGGCTGAAGCTTTTTAATATCCTTTCCTTGAATTCCCCGCTTCCCGTTGCGAAACGCGGCCCCGGATTAGGTGGATATTTGCCTAATTCCTCCGAGCGCTTGCGTCGGCGGCCGGCCCCAAAATTCCGGTTGCATAATTCCAAAAGAAAACCATCTTTGAAGTTTTATTGGAAGCGGGGGCTGTAATTAAGAGTATGAAGGGCAGCGATTAAAGCCGAGGATTTGGAGCTGGGATTTCATTTCTATTCCTGGCTTTTGCCATGGAGCTGAGCTATTCCAGGCCGCTCACTTTCCCTGATTTTCCAAAGGCTGGGGAATGGTGCCGTTTCCTGTTCTAGGCAGGAGGGGAAAAAAAAAAACCTGCTGGATTTATTGATTTTTTTTAAAAATATTTTGTTAGGTTTTGTTGTTGTGCCAGAGGTTCCCAGGATAAATTTCGGTCCGTGCTGGAGGCTTCCTAAGCTGTGGTTTAGGGAAAATTAATTTTATTGATGTAAAAGCATCTTGGTTAATTGAAAATCACCTTTATTAGTGGAAAATCACATTGATTACTAGAAAATCACCTTAATTATTGGAAAATCACTCCTATTTGTGGAAAACTACATTTTTCATTGGAAAATCACACTTATTAATGAAAAATTATCTTGATTACTGAAAAACCACCTTAATTATTGGAAAACCATCTTTATTAGTGGAAAATCACCTTAATTATTGGAAAATCCCATTTATTAATGGAAAATCCCTTTTTTTTTAATTGGAAAACCACCTTTATTATTGGAAAATCACATTTATTAATGGAAAATCACTTTTTTTTTAATTGGAAAACCACCTTTATTATTGGAAAATCACCCTTATTAGTGGAAAATCACCTTTTTCATTGGAAATCACACTTGTTAATGAAAAATCATCTTGATTACTGGAAAATCACCTTTATTCCTGGAAAACCACCTTCATAAATGTCCCTGAAAGGCTTTGGATGTATCTCTCATCCAGCCAGGGACATGATTTCATGGATAAAAACCGGATTGTCCGGATTGGATTGTGCCGGTTGGGGTTCATTCCCAATGTTTGGCTCCTCCCAGGCCGATCCTGGCTCCTCTCCCAATCCTTATCAATAATCTGGATATCCTTATCAATAATCTGCGGAGCCACCCCCGGCTCCAGACAAGCTGGAGGGCAGGGCTGGAGCTCCAGGGATTCTATGGATCGAGGACAGATTGGGAAGAACTTCCTGAAGCTCAGCAAGGCCAGGTGTAGCCACGGGATGGACAAACCAGTGGCTGCTCAAGGATTCGGGAATGCTGGGAAGTGTTATCCCCAGGGCAGGTGAGGAAGGGAAGTTGGGAAAACCTTGGAATGCCCAGCAAAGATTTAAGCCTCGCTTGACCACAACTGGGCAACCTTTGAGTTATCCAAAATGTGGAAAAACCTGGGAGAATCCAGTGGGGAATCACCAGGATGGAGCACAGGGTGTGTGAGGAGAAAATGAGGGAGCTGGGCTGGCTTTGCATGGAGAAGGATTTTGGAGAGACCTCAGGACGCTTTTCCAAAACCAAATCTGGGTTTCCAAACCGGTTGGGTTTTTGGTTGGAGCTGGTTTTGCTTCCTGTGATCAGCTCCGTGCGATTTTATCCATTGGGATTTCTGGGATGCAGTCCAGTGCCTGTAGCCCCGTGCTTGTGGAAGCCCTTGACGCCCACTTTGGGAATTCGTTTGGGTTGAGTTTTCCAGATTATCCCGGTTGTTCCGGGTTGGCCAAGGCCAGGTTGGGTGGGAATGTCTGGCTTGAGGACACAAACTGGGCCAAGGTGGAAATTGCAGGAAAGATCATGGACATGGAATGGTTTGGGTCCTCAAAACCATCCAGTTCCGGCCCCCTTCCATGGGCAGGGCCACCTTCCACTATCCCAGGTTGCTCCAAGCCCCATCCAACCCAGCCTGGAATATTCCAGGGATGGAGCATCCACAGATCCTCCCGTCTTTCACCACCCTCATTGTAAAATTCCTCCTTTAATCCTTTTTTTGCTTGTTAGTCAAACAAAATCCATAAGGATTTGGCTTAAAAACCTTGGAAAAACAGCTGGCCAAGGGTAGGGGCCACGCTCCGTCGCATCCCTGCCCGCGGGAAGCCGGATGGCCGGAATCCAGCACTGCTGCTGTTTAAATATTAACCAGGAATCAACTGGGAATCCTGCCCCCAGCTCTCGGGCCAATTCCAGAGGCTGCTCATTAACGTGGAACCTCAGCTGGTGGTTTTTAATGATTCCCAAAACCTCAGCTCATCCCGGAAAAGCAAGCAGGGCTGGCTTGGCCATCCCCGGGAATGTGCAACCACAGCTCCATCCGTCCGCGGATCCCTGCGGAGATTCCCTGCCTGGCTCCCCCCAGTCGGAATCTTTGGGATGGATTCGCTCATCCATCAACTCCGTCTGCACGGAAACCTCGTCGGAGATGGACGGGAAGAGGCCTGGAGCTCGTTTGGACAGGGATAATTAACGCTGGTGGGAAATGGAACAGCGGGAGAAAGGATGGATGGAAACCAAGCCATGGCTCTGATGGATTGGGAAGATCTTGGAAGCAACAACTCCGAAAAACTCCAAGAAAAATCCGCCCATTTTTGTGCTCAGCCAAAATAAAGGATGGAGGAGCATGTGGAGCTTGATCCGGGCAGCTGGAACACAACCCTGGGATCCAGAGGAGTGGGAATTCCGTCCTGGAGGGGTGTGGACCTTGCTGATGGCAGTGGGAGGAGCTGTTGGTCCATCCCACGTGGGGAATTCCAGTGTCCGTTGGGTTTGGCGATCCCGTTTTGGCCATGACCAGGTTCCAGTGGACTTTTTAGAGGGAAAGACCAACATTCCCACCAGACTTTCCCAGGGATGCTGCTGTATGGGATGGGGGTGGGAGATCCCCAGGGAAGGACCTTGAACAGCTCCAGAACTCTCCTGGAATCACGGAATGGTTTGGGTTGGAAGGGACCTTAAAGCTCATCCAGTTCCTGGGCAGGGACACCTTCCCCTATCCCAGGTTGCTCCAACCTGGCCTTGGACACTTCCAGGGATGGGATCCATCTGGATTCCGTCATGGATGTGGGGATCCATCTGGATTCTGCCATGGAATTGGGGTCCATCTGGATTCCACCATGGATGTGGGGATCCGTCTGCATTCTGTCATGGAATTGGGATCCATCTGGATTCCACCACGGAATTGGGAATCCATCTAAATTCCACCATGGATTCGGGTACAGCACTGGGATCAGAGGTGATGCCTTTCTCCCAGGAATCCTGGAGGAGGAGGAGGAGGGGGAGGAGGAGGAGGAGGAGATTCCACCACGGAATTGGGAATCCATCTAAATTCCACCATGGATTCGGGTACAGCACTGGGATCAGAGGTGATGCCTTTCTCCCAGGAATCCTGGAGGAGGAGGAGGAGGAGGAGGAGGAGGAGGGGGAGGAGGGGGTGGAATTCCATTCACACGCACTGGCGAGGAAAAAGGGATTAAGCAATTCCTCACAGCCGTAATTCCAGGGCTAAATCCCATTAAGATCAGCTTTGACAGAAGCTTAATTTTATTGCCTCTTGCTCCACTAAAATTTTGGAGCTTTATCCTATTAGGAAGATTTGTTTCTTTTCCCTCTTTTTTTCCTCCCGAAACCAACATCGGATCTGAATTTTATTAACAGGGGAGTATTAACAAGGAAACATGGGGGAATTTTAGGGGTGGTTTTTTTTTGGAATAAAGTTATTTCTCCAGACATTTTCTGGATAAATATTTGCTCTGTGTTTTCCAAACGGGACCAATTCTGAGCACATTCCCGCTGGGAAGGGTTGTTAAGGCAAAAATAAACATTTTCATGTGTTCACTGGCAGCGGGGATGGAAAATATTGGAAAGACAATGATCAACACCTGGTTTTTGGGAAGTGTTGGAGGGTCTTGGCATGGATTCATGGCCTTTGGAATAGTGTGGAGCCAAAAATATGGATCAAGAGTGGGTCTGATTCTACAGGAGCGGCTTTAAGTCCTTGAATCCCACAAAATCCTTCTTGGACTCCAACTCTGAATTCCCAAGTCTTCATTGAAACACACCAAGTCCAAAAATTTGGAAAAAAAGTCCACAAAGTTTGGAAATTACACCCCAGACTTCCAGATGGGGTTTTTTCCAAGTGTGGTGTCTCTTGGAGTGGGTTGGTGGTGTCACCTTCTCCATCTTCTGGGAACGAGAGCTCTGCAGGCTCAGATTTAGATGAAAATGTGGCAAAAATGGGGTTTTTTGGGGATTTTCCTCTTCCCATGTTGTCTCTGACCATCCGAGGTTGTTGAAGAGCGGGAGTGGCACTCAGAAAGGGTGGGATAAAGCCAGGAAATGTTTGGGATCTGCTCAGATGTTTTAAGGGAAAATTTGGTCTTGGAAGGGTTGGGCATGAACCTGGAGACCACGGCCAGGGGTGGCTTGGTCATCATCCGGCCAACAACTCAAAATAAAAAATCAATGACTCCAAGCTCCAGCAGGTCCCGGGAGCAGATCCCGGACAGGTGGATCCCATCCTGATGGGATTCATCTCCATTAATCCTAGAGGAGACGTTGATGTATCCTTTGGTAACTCCTCGTCCGCCATTCCTGTTTTCCAGTTCGTCGCCTTCCGGAGTGTTCGAGAAGGAATACGACATTTATCGGGATTACAGCTCGGAAGGACAACTCCTGCACTACAGGTAGCCGGAATTTCCATCCGGGATCGGGGTTGGGGTGGGTGGGGCAGTGAATGTCACTGATGTTTTATTCCCAAAGGATTTCCCAATCCTTCTCCTCATCCCTTCCCTTCATGTGTTGCCTTCAGGTCTTTGTGGAACTCCAAAAGTCCTCAAGGAAATCAAAAAGTCCTCACTGAACCCCAAAAGTCCTTCTTGAACCCTGCCAGGTCCATTTTGGACCCAAAATCCTCACTGAACACCCAAAATTCTCATTGAACCCCACCACATTGTTCTTGAGCCCCAAAATCTTCATTGAACCCCAAAATTCCTTCTTGAATCCCAAAACCTCACTGAATCCCAAATATCCTCATTGAACCCCAAAATTCCTTCTTGAACTTAAAACCCTCACGGAACCCCCAAAATCCTCACTGATCCCCAAAATTCCTTCTTGAACCCCAAAACCTCACTGAACCCCAAACATCCACATTGAACCCCACCAAGCCCTTCTTGAGCTCCAAAAATCCTCACTGAACCCCCAAAAATCCTTCTTGAACTCCCCCAAGTCCTTGTTAGACCCCTCCAAGTCCTTCTCAAGTCCCCAAGTCCTCACTGAACCCCAAAAGTCCCCACTGGATCCCACCAGGTCCTTGTCAAACCCCAGAAATCCAAGACGAGGATAAAACCGGATTTTGGGGATTTCTGGAGTCACTCCCTGCCTGGTCGCTCCGGGTTTTGATGAAACCCCAAATTCCTGGATTTTTTCAGGAGCTGGGGATGAGTGGAGGCATCTCCAGCTTTTCCTTTTGCTTTCCATGTTGGAAATGGTGACCGGGAAGGCCGCGATGCTCCTCATCCCTTTTCCTGGCACGTTTCCAGCTGTTCCAAGCTGGTCTCCATCACATTCCATCCCATCTTTCCCTGGAATTCACTGCCACCAAGTGACCTCCTGGGAAGTGTCGGAATTAATTGCCACTTAAGGAAGAGAGGGAAAAAAATTCCAAGCTTTCCAGGAGGGAAAACCAGCAGGGCAGTGGGATCGGGGTTTTTATCCTCACCGCCCTCCATGAATCCATGGACAACCTGATCCCATCCATGAGCTGGACGGATGCAATTCCCAGGAAGGGTGGGAAGGAGTGAGAATTGGAGATGTTTGGTTGGAAACAGGGATTGGCAGCGGGAGCCAAGCCAGAATCTGTCGGGATTTCTCGGTGACGGGGACAACGCGGATTTGGGCTGGTGGCAATTAAAAGCTTCGATGTCACCGCATTCATGAGCTGTCGGCATCAGCTGTGCCACGGGAGACGCCTCCGTCTTCCCAATCCCATAAAAACCCACGGAGCAGCCCTGGCAGCCCTTCCCCCAACCCGCTGACAGCCAAGGAGCTAATTAGCAGCTTTGCTTAATTAGCTGTGAGTGGACGTTCTTTGGATTAACCCCATGAGTGCCACAAAATGGAATGGGAGCTTGTGATGAATTCCTGTTAATGGGATTAATTGGGGGGGGGGGGGGGATTAATCATGGAATCGTGGAATGGGTTTGGGTTTGGGTGGAACCTCAGAGATCGTCCAGTCCCACCCAAACCACTCCAAGGGCAGGGACACCTTCCAGTATTCCAGGTTTCTCCAAGCCCTGTCCAACCTGGCCTGAGGCACTTTCTGGGATGGAAGAGCAGTGGTGCTCCAGGACTTTTGGACAGGGATTGGGAAGTCTCGGGTTGTCCCAACATGGAGGTGATGAATCTGGAGCGGGATGGAACCCAACCAGAACTTCCAAGATCCATCATGGAGTGTGGTGAGCCCTCAAACACTTCCAGTGGAGCTGCCACAGCTCCCTGGCTTCCAAACCCCCTTCGTGAAATGATCCTAGAGGTTCCAGGATCAGCTGGAAAATCAGGTCTGCAAGCCAAGAGCCTTCCCAGGTCTTTCCAATCCTCTTCTCCTCGAGTCTGGCATTAATTCCAGAGGTTTTCCTCTGGAAAATGGCAGAGGGACACAGGATTGAGTCCCACAGCTCATCCGTGGTTCTCTGGTGGGTGGGAAAGCGTGGTGAGACCCGGGTCATGGTTCCTCTGGCTGGGAATCCCCTCTGGCCGGGAAAGGAGAAGCTGGAGAACTCCCAGGTGTTGGGACAAAGTGTGGGATCAAGGTGGCTTGTGGAGAGAAGCCGGATCTTGACTGAGAAATCCCGAGGGATTCAGCTGGGGATCCTCACCCATGGAGTCATCACCACCTGCTGGTGGATCACCCCAGGAGCTGCAGCAACATCCTTGGGAGCAAGGAAGGATTTTTCCGCTTCCTTGGAGCTCCCGGCCAACAATTCCTACGGGAGATTTTTCCAATGTAACAAAGATTAATGGGTGTCATTCAGAGGATGACGTTGTGCTCCGTCCACCTGGAATCCCAAATCCCATCATTCCCAATCCTTGCCCTTAACCCTTTCCCTCTTCATTCCCTCTGGATTTGTGGTTCTCAGAGCTGCTTCATGTCCTTGTTCCATTCAGGGAGCTGAACTCTTTGCTAATCCAAAATCAATCAATCAATCTTCCCATTGGGAAATCTGCTTATTTGTCAGAGAAATCCCAAATTTCTGTCTTCATCCCATGGTGGAATTGGCCAATTAATGGATGGAAGGTCCAAGGCTGCTCAGACTGGATTTTAGACCAAAAATCTTCAACATTAAAGAACTTCTTCTCCCTTTCTCCTCCTGGCAGCAGGGATGGCACCAAACTTCTCCAAAGCTGTGGGGAATCCGTCATTCCAGGCTTTGGAGCTGGAGGAGGTGCCCTGTTGTGTTCCAGTTCTTTGTGGAGAGTTGGGATATCCAATCCATGAGCAGGAGAATCCTGGAATTCTTCTGTGGGTGTTCTAGGAGAGCCGAATGGCGGCTGCTTCACCTGCTCAGGATCCTTGGCTTGGTCTTCCTCCATTTCTCCTGGACTTCCACACCCAGGAATGTTTGAAGAGGTCTTCAATCTTTTTGTGGTCAGCAGGAATCACTTCACTGCAAAGAAATTGGGGGAATGAGGAGGGAACTGGGGTTGGCTCCCAAAAATCCTGTCACCACCTTTCGGAGCTCCACGTGGAGGCACCTGAGGTGGTTTCGGAGGTGGGTTGGTGTCTGGCAGGGTTTAGGAGGTGGTCGTGGTCATGGGGCCACCTCTGTTTTGGGATACAGACATAATTTGCCAAAAATTTTCCAGCTGTTTTCACCTCTTGGCTCCCACAGGAGTTTTTGGATTCATCCTCCATGGTTGGAGGTTCAGTGTCCAAATGGTTCAGTGTCCAAATCCTGCCCTGGCCATGTTCAGCCCTTCTCCATCTGGATTTGTTGTCCTAGTGCCACGTGGATTCAGGGAACAGCTGTAATTTGGCAGAGTTGTGCAAATCCAGGCCCAAAATTCAGGAAGAGACTTGCAGGAGCTATGAAGAAACCCGGGAAGGAGGTGAGGAACCACAACGCCAGATTTTGAGCACGGTTCCAACTGCAAGTTCATAAATGTGACCATTCCTGGTTTTTAGAGTTCACTTCATTCCCTGCTTCCCTTGGAAGTGAGGAAGAGGAGCAGAACCGACACCAGTGATTCCCTGGGGAGCCATGAGGTGAAAATCCCATCTTTTGGAAAGAAAGGGATGAGGGTTGATCGTTGCTCTTGGTGGTATCAGAGTGGTGGGACCTCCTGGGCTGGGCTTTCTGCCCAAACCTGACACTTCCAGGATGGAGCAGCCACAGCTTTTCTGTTTCCATTCCAGCCCCTCACAGGGAAGAATTCCTTCCCAAAATCCCCCTTATCCCTCTGGAAGTGGGAAACCATTCCCTGTATCCCGTCAGGCTGGAGACACCAAGAGGAGGAAAAGCTTTGGCGTAGGGAATGTGTTCCGGAGGATGCAAAATCCATTCAGAATGGGCAAGAGCTAAAAAAAAAAAATCACCATTTTTGGAACTCTTTGTCGCACTCCCGGAGCCAGCGGGAGCAGATTCCCTATTGATCGGCTATTTCGGGAAATGTCACTTCTGGTCTCTTTGTTCTTCCCAGCTGATTCCTCAGAAGGATAAAGGCTCCTCTGTGCTCCTTTCCCAGCATTCCCTCCTCCCTCTCCAATCTGGAAAGATCTCCTCTTGTTTTCGGTGACATTTGGATTTCGGGAACGAAGCTATTTTTGGGGGATTGCTTTCATTGGGATGAGCAGCCCCGATTGGCTCCCGGGAATTTGGCGGCCGTGTTGTCCGTGCCCGGCTCGGTTGTTTGGGTCTTGTGCTTCCTCCTGGTGGGTTCCTGATGGGATTGATCCCGGAGGAACTCACTGGAGAACCCCCTCCCTGGACCTTCAGCAAGGTCAACTTGACCTTCAGCCAGGGGACTCATCAGGAGTGATCATCCAACTTCATTTTGGTGTTTCCTCACCATCAACATCCCATAAAATCCTTTGGCTATGGATTCGTGGCCTCCAACGTCCCGACCTGACCATCCCACCCAAACAGCTGCCGGAAAATGGCAAAAATTCATCCTCCCGGCCCTGCTTCTCCTGAAATAAAAGTGGGAATGGGATGGCGAGGGATGGGATGGGTCGTTGTCTCCCCGTGGCCTTGACCAGCTTCCGTGGATGTTAATTAGTGCCGATGCCACCGGAGCAGCAGAACATCGGAGATGTTTCGCGGAGAGATTTGGTGTTGAGGGCTTGGAGCTGAAGGTGATCCCATAGCGCCATCCGGAGACAGGGATTGGACAATCCCTGAGAGTTTTGGAGAAATAATAGGATTTTAATTTTTTTATTTTTTAATGGTATTTTGGTGGGTATAATCCTTTGGGAATATTTTAGCTGGAGAACGGAATTGTGTGCGGAGGAGCTTCAGGAGGTTGTGGGCATCCAGCAAACCAAGGTTTGATGTCACAGACTTTGGGCTTCAACATTCCCATCGCTCCAAAATTCCCACTGAAAGACCAAACTGGATTTTCCTCTTCGTGGATATCCCATGGATTGTGTTGTATCTGTCAAATCATCCTGGGAAAACTCGATCCTGGTACTCACCTTCTTCCCAAATATCCATTTTATTGCCCGAATTATGCAAATTTCTCCTTGGTCATTCCGGTTTTTCTAGGAATCAGCTTCAACCAATCAAAAGGCTTCCTAAAAAATGAACTCCAAGGAGGGACTGACGCTTCCAAAAGATGGGAAGAGGGACTGGAAGTGTGGAAGAAGGGTTGGAGAGGCCATGGCAGGGTTGGAGAACCCCAAATCCCACAAAAACTGAGAAATTCCTGCTTGAGCAGGAATTTAAAATTCGAAATTTTAAAATGTAGAATTTAAAATTCCAGTCCAAGCCCTGGGATATTTATATATATGGAATTACACAGAATTCCATGTCAATTTTTGGGAACAGCACTGCTTGCAAGTGAAGAACAGCAAAACCTTAAGGATGGAGGATTTCAGGATTTCATCCTACAGCTTCATTTAATTATAAATTAACATAAAATACAAGTTTTTGCATGATTATAGAGGCTGGATTCCTGTCCTGAGGACGTTTTCCCAGCTGGAAAATTTCGGATGGATCACGGGAGGCTCCAGATGGAAGCCTGGACGTCTTCAGGCTCTGCTGCTCACCTTTCCCTGATTTTTTTCACGGAGATTTTCGTGCTGCCGGAGCGGCGCCGGGCACCGTGCCAGGCACAGGGAGGGTTTTTTCCGCCACCGGCTCATCCCTGACCCCGGAATTCCCAGCGGGATGCGCTCGGAGCAGGCGGTGCCCAGCTGGGAGGGAAGAGGGGCCGGGCTGCTTCCCTCATTCCCATCCCAGTTTAGCCCTGGAAAAGGGAATTTGGAGCTCAGGTGGAAGGCAGAGGGAGAAGATGCTCCCAAATCCCAGAGCCGGGGGAGGAAGGTGAGGAAGAGAGAGGATTTTTGGGATTTTGGGAATTTGGGATGGCACAAGGAGCTGGGATGGTGGGGGGTGCCCAGGGATCTTTTGCTTTTCCCGGACAATCCGGCTGTGTTCTGATATTTGAATTATTCAAATCAGGTTTTTTTCCCCTTTTCCCAGGGAGGGGAAAATCCACTTAATCCCAGCTCTAAATTTTAATTTTCACTTGCAAAGTCTAAACACTGGGGCAGGGGAAGGAATCTTGGAAAAATGCATGGTTTGGGTCGGTTTTGGAAATATTCGTGTTTTTAAAACCTCACGTTGCAGCCTCATTCCATCAAAAACCAAATAATTTTGGTTTAAAATAATGAAATATTATTTTAAAATAATTCTGCTTAAACTCAGCTGTGATTTATTCCCTCAGTCCCACCATGAGGGGAGCTGGCCCTTAGCCCCATGAAAAGCATCAGGAATGTAAAAAATCCATAATTTTGGTTATTTTCGTGGGATTTTAAGGAATTTTGAGCTGTGCATGGTCGTAATTCTTGCTGGAATGAATAATGATATGCAAATTAGGGGGGGGTTTACCTGCAGGTGTGGGGTCTCTCCAGAAAAAAACAACGGGAAGCAAAGGAATTCCCGGATGAGTGATCCAGGTTTCTCCTCTCCCCTCCATCGCTGACTTCCCAAAGGTTGGAAGAAGATCAAGGAGGAGGCGTTGGAGCAGGGAAGGAAATTTTGGAGAACATGGAAAAATCCTGCCCTAAACCAGAGGGAAATTATGTGGGAATCACACAAATTTCCAAAGAAATGGATTTCTCGGATAGGAGATGCAGAGGGATTCGGGAAGCGGTTTTGTCATGGAAATGTACAGAATAGAAAAAATCTTCCCCACGTGGAGAAAACAGCAGGGAGAACCCGGTGCCAAGCCAGAAATAACAGGAATACTTGGAATTTCTGCCGGATGCCCCGTGCCAGCATCCCTTGAATTTCTTGGAGCGGCCGCGCCGCTCGTGGGCAGCGATTTCAGCCCAAAAATCGCCTTTTTGGGATTCCTTTTACCGGCAGAAAAATCCATTTATTCCGTGGGGTTTTTTTTTTGGGGGGGGGGGGGGCACTAACCATAATCCACGGAGCTTTCTGGAATATTGCTCATTGTTATTTAATATTTGGGATTGAAAGCTCGGCCCGGACGAGGTGATTTGGCAATTTGACGGAAGCGCCGCTGCTCCGTTGGGGATTTTTCTTGGGATCCGCTGCTGCCAGATGCCGCGGGCTGGAATATTAATGCCAGCTGCAAAGCTGGGAATTAAGCGGCGGTTTCACCTGGTTTGAGTGAAAACACCTGGATTTAGGAGGGATTTGGGTTCGGGTGGGCGTGGGGAAAATGTGGAAACGTGGATTTCTGCAGGGAACTTCCGGATCATCTCATTCCAACCCTTTTCCATGGGTAGGGACAGCTTCCACTAACTCAGGTTGCTCCAAGCCCTGTCCAACGTGGGCTTGGACACTTCCAGGGATGGGGCAGCCATGGATTCCCTGGGAATTCCAGTCCAGTTCCACTGGGAATCCTCTGTGGCTTTTCTGTTTTCTTTCCTCACGATTTTTGGGATCTGTGTATAAAAGTCAGGTTATTCATGAGGATTAAAGACCTCCAGCTCTTCCAGAAGAAACATGGAGCCATCCAAGAGTTTTGTGTGTGGCTTGAGCAGGAAAAGCAGATTTTTCAGGAGCAGAAGCAAGGTGGGAAGGGGCTTGGAGCAACCTGGGGTAGTGGAAGGTGTCCCAGCCCATGGCAGGAACTGGATGAGCTTTAGGCCGAAAACATTCCATGAATCCATGATTTTGTGGTCATGGATGGAATTTTGAGGGTCTGGAAGGGCAGCATAAGAGGTTGAGATCCATCAAACCAAGGTGGAGGAACCCAAACTCCTCCAGGTTTTCAGCAGCAAGAAGTTGGCAGGAGGCTCAAGTCCCCAGGAGCTCCAAAGGCACTTCCAAAGGTGGAAAAGGAAGGAATAAATTCTTCCCAAACCCCTTGGAGCGAGGACAAAGCCGTGGACAAACAAGGAGAGACCGTGGAGCCTCCTGCAGGGAATTGTTTGTGGCTTTTTGTGGGAATTTTTCCCTCAAAACTCAGCGATTGAACTCACTCCACCTTTTCCTGGGGGACAGAAGGGACAAATGGCTGGGAATAAACGAGAACTGGAGAGGGATGAAGTGGGAGAGCAGACGGTGCCTCCGGCATCTTCTGTTCCAGCGTGGGATTGGTGACAGGATGTGCTTCCCTGTGCCTTGGGAACAGCAAATTCCAGCTCGGATCCCTCCTGTGAGCTGGGCAGCTCCATAAAATCCTTCTTTGCACTTCCTCCTGACTGTCCCAAGGACTTGGAACGGGGAGAGAGGAGAGGAAAATCCACTGTGCCAGGGAAGAATTCCTTATGGGAGAATTTCTTCCCAATATCCAATCCCATGGGCAGGGACGCCTTCCACTATCCCAAGTTGCTCCAAGCCCTGTCCAGCCTGGCCTTGGACACTTCCAGGGATGGAGCAGCCACAGCTTCTCTGGGAATTCCATTCCAGAGACTCCCCATCCTCACAGCCAAGAATTCCTTCCCGTTATCCCATCCAACCCTGCCCTCTCGCAGTGAGAAGCCATTCCCTATATCCTGTCCCTCCATGCCTTGTCCAATATCCAACCCCATCCAATCCCTCCCATCTCCATCTCTCGAGCTCTTGGGAATATTCATCCTCCAGGCTCTGTGGTAGTTTGGGAGGTTTGGGACCAACAATCCCAAACTTTTGTGGAATTCTGACCCTCACCGTGATGTTTCTCCCCGCAGGACCTCATCCCTCCGATGGAACGCCGGCACCAAGGAGCGGATGTTGATCAAGGTGACGGATCGGGAGCCCAGCTTCCTCCTCCACCAAGGCAACGGCTACGCCCCGGAAAACCAAGCTGGCTCCCGCTCCCGCCGGCCCTCGGGCGGCCAGCAGTCGCCCAACCTCCAAACCTTCTCCTCGGACACCGACAACTCCGTCTTCTTCCCGGAGAGGAAGCAGTCGCCCTTCCTGAAGAGGGCCGAGCACGTGGGCAGCTGCTCGCCGCTGCTGGGCCGGGGCGATTCCTTCTGCTCGCCGCTCCAAGCCCAGCACCGCAAACATTCCAGCGAATCCCAGCCCTCGTCGCCCCGCTACGCCTACGAGCCCCCGCTCTACGAGGAGCCCCCCATGGAATACCAGGCTCCCATCTACGACGAGCCGCCCGTGGACATGCAGTACGAAGCCAGCGGGAGCTACAAGGCCGGATCGCCGCAGAAATCGCCCATCCGCAAGCCTCACCCTTTCCTCCAGTCGCCCAAGCAAGGCTCCAACTCGCCCTACCAGCAGTTGGTGCTCACCAAGCAGAAGTGTCCCGACCGCTTCATGAGCCTGGAATACAGCCCGGCCGGCAAGGAGTACGTCCGGCAGTTGGTCTACGTGGAGCAGTCGGGCTCCAGCCCCAAGATGAAGACGGGCTTGAGGCACAAATATTCCCCCAACCCCATCGGCGGCTCCTACTCGCTGCAGCACAGCCCCTGCCTGGTGCGGGACCAACGCCTGGAGATCAAATCGGGCGACTACAGCAGCATGGAGGGACCCGACTTCTGCCCCGGCCCCACCGGGGCCCAGGTGGCCCAGGGCGAGGACTCCATGTCGTGGTCCAGCCAGCAGGACACCTTGTCCTCCACCGGTTACTCGCCCTCCACCAGGAAGAGGAAAAGCCGGAAGCCTTCGGTGAACCACGACGCCAACGCCTCCTCCACGGACGGCTCAGGGGAGCGGGAGGTGTTGGGCGAGCTGGGTGAGGAACGAGCCACGCCGGGGCCCAACAGGTCGCCGATGAACCGGACGGAGAGCAAGGCGGCCGAGGCGGAGGCGGCGCGGGGCTTCCCGGAGCCGTTCCTGGCACAGGCGCGCCTGGCGTGGGAAGCGCAGCAGGCTCACTACCACATGAAGCAACGGAGCAGCTGGGATTCCCAAAAGGACGGTTCGGGCTACGAGAGCGACGGGGCCCTCCCGCTGCCCATGCCGGGCCCGGTGGTGCGAGCCTTCAGCGAGGACGAGGCGTTGGCGCAGCAGGAGAACAAGCACTGGAAGAGGAACACCTTCGAGAAGCTGGGCTTCCCCCAGATCCTGCTGGAGAAGAGCGTCTCCGTCCAGACCAACCTGGCGTCCCCCGAGCCCTACCTGCATCCATCTCAGGTAAGGCCCTTGGGAAGGTTCTCGGTTTTGGGGGTCTTCACCACATGGCCAATCCTTGTTGAAGGTCCTTCTCCTCCAGTGTAGATCCAGTGGTATGTCCCTTGGGGTGATCCCAACCAGGATTGGGCACGGGCATCTCTGTGCCATGGCGGCCTCAGCTCTGTGCCGTGGCTTCTCCTGCCTCGATGTGGGGCAGATCCTGGATCCAAGCAGCTCCCAGGAGGTTCCTGAGTGCTCATCCCTGGCTGATCCCTCAGAGAAGTTGCTCCTTGCCAAGGTGGTCCCTCAAAGAAGTTGCTCCTTGCCAAGGTGGTCCCTCAAATTTGGTTCTTACCAAGGCGGTCCCTCAAAGTTGGTCCCTGCCAAGGTGGTCCCTCAAAGAAGTTGATCCTTGCCAAGAGGATCCCTCAAAGAAGTTGATCCTTAGCAAGGTGGTCCCTCAAACAAGTTGGTCTTTGCCAAGGTGATCCCTCAAACAAATTGATCCTTGCCAAGGTGGTTCCTCAAAGATGTTGGTCGTTGGCAAGGCGGTCCCTCAAAGATGCTGGTCCTTGCCAAGGGGATCCCTCAAAGAAGTTGGTCGTTAGCAAGGCGGTCCCTCAAACAAGTTGGTCGTTGCCAAAGTGATCCCTCAAAGTTGATCCTTGCCAAGAGGATCCCTCAGAGAAGTTGGTCCTTAGCAAGGTGGTCCCTCAAGGTTGATCCTTGCCAAGAGGATCCCTCAGAGAAGTTGGTCCTTAGCAAGGCGGTCCCTCAAAGATGTTGGTCCTTGCCAAGGTGGTCTTTCAAAACCTGGGAATGAAAGAGCCACCAGTTTTCCAGGATTTGTTTCCCAGGGTTGTGGGCTGCCTGTTCCCTCCCTGGAGATCCCTCCAGCCCCAAACTCCCATTCCAGAGGAGACCCTGAGGGTCTCACCTGGAATTGCTGGAGCTGGAGCATCCCAGATGCCCAGATTCCGGCCCACCAGATGTTGCCCTGGTTTTTGGATTTCCTCCATCAGCTTCTGGATGTCATCCATCAGTCCCTTCCCCTCCAGGGAAAGGCTGTCAGGGCTTCCAAAAAACAGGTGATGATGCCACGTGTGGGGATAAATCCCACCTGGAAAACTTCCTGGAAGATGGAATTTGGTGTCAGCAGGAAGGAGGCCCTGGACATCGACCTGGCAAACAGCAAATCATCTGGAAAATTCCTTTTTTGTCCATGGAAATGTGTAATGAAATGGGTGGAGTGTTGCATCCAAAGGCATCAGAAGAAGATTCCTGAAGCACAAGGACTCCGCGCTGCACGAGGAGGTCCAAACCCACAGCTGGAGGGCTCCGGATCCGCTTTGGATCTTCACACCAGGAGAAAAAGCTGCCACCATTGGTGATCCTACACCTTCTTCACAGAGCTTGGGACGTGGTGGGAATCTTCTCCACTCCGCAGAGGTTTCTGTCCTGATGGTCCCATCTGTCATCCTCGATCTCAGGGACACCAAGCTGGTGGGACAGTGGCACCGGTTTCCCAGAGAAGCTGTGGCTGCCCCATCCCTGAAAGTGTCCAAGGCCAGGTTGGACGGTGTTTGGAGCAACCTGGGATGGTGGAAGGTGTCCCTGGCCATTGGAACGGGATGATCTTGAAGGTCCCTTCCATGGTCATGGCTGTGGTTGTCACCAGTGGAGTGTCCCCACACTGAAGTGCATCCAAGCCACATCCACATGGCTCCAGGACCTTCTCCCTTGAGGATTCCCTAATTCCTGAGGTGACACCATCGTCACCCCATGGGACAGGCAGGAGGTCACAGCCATTTGAAGTTGATACCTCATGGTTTATTCCCTTCTTGTAGGCCAGGGCATCCCCCAAGTTCATTTAGGTGCTAATTAGAGCTATTTAGCCCTGAAGTTAATTTCCTATTGGCTCTGGCAGAAGAGGATCCATCACATTTCACTTCCAGGGTCACTCCCTGGCCTGACCATGCTCTCCTTGGCTGGAGAAGGTTGATGTCCTCAACCAGTGTGGTCATTTTCTTCTCCCTGGGTGTTCTTGGTGGCTCTGGTCCAGCCCATGGACCAATTTTTGGAAGATCCAGGTCCCCAGCAGCTGCCGGGTGCGAGACCTTCGAGCATCTCCTGCATCACCCAGGAAACCCCATGGGCCTTCAGCTGACCAGGCTGGAGGACACAGAAGGACCTTTGGGGTGGAGTGGCCTCCACAGGGACAGCAGGGCTGCGTCCCTTGAGGGATGAAGCTCCCGTGTCCCCATCCCGTGTCCCCATCCCATGTCCCTGCCATCGTCACCGTCGTCAAGATGGGAGTGGAGCGATGTCGATGGAAAGATCTCGACACTGGAACAGGACGAGTTGCTGAAGAGAAAAGAAACTTCACTTGTTTGAAGAAGTAGAAGCTCGGTCACCCAACAGCAGGTCTGGTGGCTCTTTGGGTGGCTTCCTTGTCCCCTCCTAGATTTTCCATCTTCTGGGTCTTTCCACCTTCTGCTTTTCTTCTGTTCCTCCTCTGAAGCCCAGCCCCAAATCCGTGGCAGCACTGGAGTCACCTTGCCCACAGGCCCTGCTCAGGGCCACCACTGCTCCTCCACATGAGGTGGGGACAGCGGTGTCACCTCTGATGGTGTGGCATGTCCTTCCCTGCCATGGGTCACGTCCCCAGGGCTCCCAAACCCAGGTGGTGCTGGCCTGGATGTTGCAGAAGAGATGATGAAGCCACCTTGGCTGGCTGCAGGACCAGAGAATTGTCCAATTGTCCATCCCAATTGTCCCTTGTTGGCCTCCTCCATGCTGGTCACCAGCTGTTGAGGTGTCCCTCCACCTCCTGGGGTGACATCCACAAGCTGTGCTGGTTCCAGTAGGAGCACACTGCTCCACAGGGCTCCTCTGGGTCCTTCCCAGCTGGATGCTCTGCAGAGGTCAAGGTTAAATCCTGAGCATCTCCTGTCCCTCAGGATGTTCCAGAAGGGCCATCCATGTTGTTCATGGCTTGGAGGAGCCACCAGCCTCCTCCTGTGGCTGCAGGAGAACCACCCCAGAAGGTGATTTTGGGTAGAAGGGGTTTCCTGGGGGGCTGTTAAAGGTGGGTGTGTCCCCCAGTGTCCCCAAAGGATGGGTGGAACCCAAAGCCACTCGCTCTTTGTTTCCCCCACATTGCCACCAACTTCTTCTGTCCGTGGTCCACTGACCAAGTGTGGAGAGAGTCCAGCCTGTCACTTGTCCCCAGCAGTCCCCTCCCTCCTGATGCCAATCGGTGCCACAGCCCACCTTGGCTGCTGGCACTGGGTCAGCTCCACTTGGCCATGATGGGATTGAGGAGAAGCTCCTTGGAGAGGACGAGGCTTATGGGAAGACCTCTGAATGCTGCAATGGTTGGTTGGTTGGTTGGTTGGTTTACTGATTAATTGATTTGTTGGTTGATTGGTTGGTTGGTTTATTGATTGGTTGGTTGGTTGGTTGGTTTGTCAGATCAATTCATTGGTTGGTTGGCTGGTTTCTCTATCAGCTTATTGGCCAGCAGTCCCCTCCCTCCTGATGCCAATCGGTGCCACAGCCCACCTTGGCTGCTGGCACTGGGTCAGCTCCACTTGGCCATGATGGGATTGAGGAGAAGCTCCTTGGAGAGGACGAGGCTTATGGGAAGACCTCTGAATGCTGCAATGGTTGGTTGGTTGGTTGGTTGGTTTACTGATTGATTGGTTGGTTAGTTGGTTGATTTGTCAGATCAATTCATTGGTTTGTTGGCTGGTTTCTCTATCAGCTTGTTGGCTGATTTATTGTTTCGATGATTGGTTGATGGATTTTTTTTTTGGTGGTTGGTTGGTTGGTTCATTGTTTTATTGGTTGGTTCATTTGTTTGTTGGCTGGTCAGTTGGCTTGTTGATTGGTTTGATGGATCAATTCGTTGGTTGGTTGGTCTGTTGGTTTCTCCACTGGTCAGTTGGTTGATTGGTTTGTCAGATCAATTCAGTGATTGATTGATTGATTGATTGATTGGTTTGTTTGTTGGATCGATTCATTGGTTGGTTGGTTAATTGGTTTGTTGGTTGGTTGACTTGTCTGATGGTTTCTCCACTTGTCAGTTGGTTTATTGATCAGCTTGTTGGCTGATTTATTGTTTGGATGATTGGTTGGTTGGTTGATTGATTGATTGATTGATTGATTTTTTGGTGGGTAGTTGGTTGGTTCATTGTTTGATTGGTTGGTTCATTCGTTTGTTGGCTGGTCAGTTGGTTTGTTGATTGGTTGATTGATTGGTTTGGTGGATCAATTCATTGGTTGGTTGATTCAACCATTCATGCATTGGTTGGTTGGTCTGTTGGTTTCTCCACTGGTGGTCAGTTGGTTGATCAGTTTGTTGGCTGATTTATTTGTTGGATGATTGGTTGATTGGTTGGTTCATTGCTTGGTTGATTGATCAATTTTTTGGTTGCTTGATGGCTTTATTGGTTGATTGGTTGGTTGGTTCATTGCTTTCTTCATCAGTTGCCTTATTGGTTGGTTTGTTGGTCTGTTGATTTCTTGGTTGGTTCATTGGTTGATTGATCAGTTTATTGATCCATTTGTTGCTTGGTTAATTGATTGGTTTACTGGCTGGTTGTTTCATTGATCCATTTGTTGATTGATCAGTTTGTTGGTTGGTTTATTGGTTTGTTGGTTGGTTGATAAGTTTTTTGATCTGTTGGTTGATGGATTGTTTGCTTGATTAATTAATTGATAGATTTGTTGGTTGATTCATTGGTTAGTTCCTTGATCCGCTTGTTGGTTGCTTGACTGGTTTATTGGTTGGTTTGTTGATTGATCAGTTCATTGGTTGGTTGGTTGACTGATTGGTTCAGTGGTTGTTTCATTGATTGGTTTGTTCATTGATCCATTGGTTGGCTGGTTGATTCATTGATTGATCTGTTGGTTGGCTGACTGATTGGCTTACTGGCTGTTTCATTGGTTGGTTTGTTTGTTGATTGATCAGTTGGCTGGTTGGTTGGTTGGTTGATTGATAGATTGGTTTACTCGCTGTTTCATTGGTTGGTTGGTTGGTTAATTTATCATTTGGTTGGTTGGTTGGTTGGTCTGTTGATTGATCAGTTGGTTGGTTGGTTGGTTTGTTGATTGATCTGTTGGTTGGTTGACTGATTGGCTTACTGGCTGTTTCATTGGTTGGTTTGTTTGTTGATTGATCAGCTGGTTGGTTGGTTGGTGGATTGGTTCGTTGATTGATCATTTGGTTGGTTGGTTGGTTTGTTGATTGATCAGTTGGTTGGTTGGTTGATTGATAGATTGGTTTACTCGCTGTTTCATTGGTTGGTTCATTGGTGGATTGGTTCGTTGATTGATCATTTGGTTGGTTGGTTGATTGAGCCATTGTTTGGTTGGTTCATTGGCTTATTGGCTGGTCGGTTTTTTGATCTGTTGCTCTATCGATCGATCGATCAATCGATCCATCAGCACTCCAACCCCACCAGCACCTCTGACCTGTCCCTCCTGTCGTCCCCCAGTCCGAGGACCTCGGCGCCTGCGCGCAGTTCGAGAGCAGCCGGCAGACGCGGAACATGATGCCGAGCGCCAGCTGCGTCTTCCCCACCTTCAACCTGCGCAAGCCCTCCTCGGAGACGGACATTGAGAACTGGGCCTCCAAGCACTTCAACAAGCACACCCAAGGGCTCTTCCGCCGGAAGGTCTCCATCGCCAACATGCTGGCCTGGAGCAGCGAATCCATCAAGAAACCCATGATCATGACCAACGACCGCAACGTCAAGAAGGAGGCGTGCGAGATCTTCAAGCTCATCCAGATGTACATGGGCGACCGGCGGGCCAAGACGGACCAGCTCAACGTGGCCTTGGAGATCGCCACCAAAGGTTGGAGCATGCAGGGGCTGCGAGACGAGCTCTACATCCAGCTGTGCCGGCAGACCACCGAGAACTTCCGTTACGAGAGCCTGGCCCGCGGCTGGGAGCTCATGGCCATTTGTTTGGCCTTTTTCCCACCCACTCCCAAATTCCATTCCTACCTTGAAGGATACATTTACCGGCACATGGATCCGGTGAATGACACCAAAGGTAAGTGAGGAACCGCGGCCCGGTGGTTGTCCTCGATGCCTGGAAGCGTTCCAGGCCAGGTTGGATGGGGATTGGAGCTATCTAGGATAGTGGAAGGTGTCCCTAGATGGATTTTGTGGTCACTTCCAGGCCAAACCATTCCCTGATTCCATGTCCCAACCCGCTGATTTGGTTCCTTTCCTCTTGGCTGAGTCTCCTCATGGAAAGGTGGATGAGGAACTCATCCAAGACCCCTCCTCAAGGTGCACCCGGTGCTGTGGGAGCTTTCCCACCCTTCTCCTTCCCAGAATCCAACAGGAACTGAGCTTTGACACCTTTGCAGTGGGATCATCCTCATCTCTGCTCCTGGAACTTCTCCCATCCCCAGAAGTTCCATCCAACCCAACCTTCAGAGGTCCAGCCCAAACCATTCCATGATTCCATGTCCCAACCCATGGATTTGGTTCCTTTCCTCTTGGCTGAGTCTCCTCATGGAAAGGTGGATGAGGAACATCCAAAACATCTCCGGGAGGTCCACCCAGTGCTGTGGGGCCTTTCCCACCCTTCTTCCCGGAAATCCAACAGGAGATCCAAGAGGAAATGAGCTTTGACACCTTTGTGGGATCAGTGTCACCTCCACTCCTGGAACTTCTCCCATTCCCTGAAGTTCCTTCCAACCCAAACCATTCCATGGTTTCACCATCTCTCCCACCTCCAGATGTTTCCTCTCTAGTAGCTTTGGATCCAAAATTCCAGGATTCCATGGTTTCCATCATTCCCACCTCCAGATGTTTCCTCTCTAGTAGCTTTGGTTCCAAAATTCCCGGATTCCATAGTTTCCACCATTCCCACCCCCAGATGTTTCCTCTCAGTAGGTTTGGATCCAAAATTCCATGATTCCATAGTTTCCATCATTCCCACCTCCAGATGTTTCCTCTCTAGTAGCGTTGGTTCCAAAATTCCCGGATTCCATAGTTTCCATCATTCCCCCCTCCAGATGTTTCTTCTCGAGTAGCTTTGGATCCAAAATTCCAGGATTCCATGGTTTCACCATCATTCCCGCCTCCAGATGTTTCCTCTCTAGTAGCGTTGGTTCCAAAATTCCCGGATTCCATAGTTTCCATCATTCCCCCCTCCAGATGTTTCTTCTCGAGTAGCTTTGGATCCAAAATTCCAGGATTCCATGGTTTCACCATCATTCCCGCCTCCAGATGTTTCCTCTCTAGTAGCGTTGGTTCCAAAATTCCCGGATTCCATAGTTTCCATCATTCCCCCCTCCAGATGTTTCTTCTCGAGTAGCTTTGGATCCAAAATTCCAGGATTCCATGGTTTCACCATCATTCCCGCCTCCAGATGTTTCCTCTCTAGGAGCTTTGGTTCCAAAATTCCATTATTCCATTGTTTCCATCATTCCCACCTCCAGATGGTTCCTCTCTAGTAGCTTTGATTCCAAAATTCCCAGATTCCATGGTTTCCACCATTCCCACCCCCAGATGTTACCTCTCTAGTAGCTTTCGTTCCAAAATTCCATTATTCCATTGTTTCCATCATTCCCACCTCCAGATGGTTCCTCTCTAGTAGCTTTGATTCCAAAATTCCCAGATTCCATGGTTTCCACCATTCCCACCCCCAGATGTTACCTCTCTAGTAGCTTTCGTTCCAAAATTCCATTATTCCATGGTTTCACCATCATTCCCACCTCCAGATGTTTCCTCTCTAGTAGCTTTGGATCCAAAATTCCAGGATTCCATGGTTTCCACCATTCCCACCCCCAGATGTTTCCTCTCTAGTAGCTTTGGATCCAAAATTCCCGGATTCCATGGTTTCACCATCATTCCCACCCCCAGATGTTTCTTCTCTAGTAGCTTTGGATCCAAAATTCCATTATTCCATGGTTTCACCATCATTCCCACCTCCAGATGTTTCCTCTCTAGTAGCTTTGGATCCCAAAAAGACCCCAATGTTGGGATGGAACCCAGAACATTCCCATCTCCTGAGGTTTTAGGTCATGGCCAGAGAAGGAGACAGAAATGTGAGAAATCTGGGAATTTCAGGAGATCCTCTCCAGCCTTGGGATTGGTTGTCCCAAATCCTTCACCATCGGGACGTCCCCGTGAGTTGATGCCGCCTCCAAGTGGGTCGCGGATGTGGTGGGATTGGGAATCCAGGAGGATTCAGGATTTTGGATCCCAAATTTCTCCCGGGGTTCCGAGGTGTCCTTCAACCCCCGGGGGACACCAGGAGATGATCCCACCCCAGGCGGCCACGGAAGGTGGAGACGACCCCGTGGGATCCCTGGGAATGTCGGGATGGGTTGGGTTGGTCCCACCAGAGGTGTCAAACTCATTTCCCACCAAAGGAGAGGCTCCGCCCCCAACGCCCCCGCAGCCAATCAGAGCCCTTCGCCGGGAATTCCCGAATCCCACCCTCGTTCCGAGTTTTCCGTGGTGTTTCCAGGAATTTCGTTGTCTTTGTGTTGAGTTTCGTTGTCAATGTTGATTTGTTTTCATTTGCGTTTTCGATTCCATCTCATTTCATTCAATTTGCATTTTCATTGCCATTTTAATTGGGTTTTATTTCCGTTTTCATTTCTTTTCTTTTCTTTTCTTTTCCGTTTTAAATCTCATTTTTATTTTAATTTTGTTTTTCTTCATTTAATTTCATTTTTACTTAATTTTTCTATTCTAAATTTATATTTTCATTTATATTTTCTTTATTTTTATTTTCACTTTCTTTGTTTTCCATTTTAATTAACTAAAATTAATTAATTAATTAATTTTATTTTAATTCATTAATTTTAATTAATTAATATTAATTAAATTTAATTAATTAATTTCCATTGTACTTTTACTTTGCGTCTTTATTTTCTCTTAATTATTAATTTTCACCTTTATTTCAAGCTTCATTTTCTTTAATTATTAACACCAATTTTATTTTTGTTTTCGTTTTTATTTCTTTTCCATTAAATTTTTAAACTTTTCTTGATTTTTTAATCTTTACTTAATTTTCATTTCCTTTCAATTTTTATTTCCATTTTATTTCTTCCTTTTCCTTTCAGTTTTGCCTTTAATTTCAATTTTTTTCTTTTCATTTAATTTTAAATTTTTTTCCATTTAATGTTCCTTGAATTTTTCCTTTAATTTAATTTTGGGTTTTTTTAAATTTTAATTTTCATTTAATGTCAATGTTTTATTTTAAGTTTGAACTTCAATTGCTAGTTTTAATTAATTTCAAATTTTCTGTTATTTTATTTCAGTTTTATATTTTAATTTCATTTTATTACAATTTTATCGTCATTTCAATTTTGATTTCAGTTTTAATTTCAATTTGTTTTCAAATTTAATTGTCAATTTTTTATTTTAATTTCAATTTTCATTTTAATTTCAAATTTCATTTAATTTTAAATTTTGTTCTAATTTCAACTTTATTTAATTTTTTTAATTTTAATTTCACGTCAATTTTTTTTGCGTCAAATCCCATTTCATTGCAAATTTTAATTCCAATTTTAATTCCATTTCAATTTTTATTTTTTTATTTCAATTTGCATTTAGTTTCCAATTTCCACTTCAATTTTTAATTCCACTTCAAAACTTCCCTCTCAATTTCCATCTCGTTTCCAATTTTAATTTCCATTTCAATTTTATTTCTATTTCGAATTTTTTCTATTTTAATTTCAATTATAATTTCAATTTTAATTTAATTTTTTGTTTTAATTTTAAGTTAAATTTTTTAAATTTTAATTTAAATTTTCATTTAATTTTTTACTTTTAATTTTATTTTTTTAAATTTTAATATTAAGTTAAATTTTTTAAATTTCTATTTAAATTTTCATTTAATTTTTTACTTTTAACAGTAATCCTAATTTTAGATTTAATCCATTTTTTTATTTTAATTTCAATTGAATTTTTAAAATTTTATTTTTTAATATTTTTATTTTTAATTTCGATTTTAATTTCTTTTCCCCATTCCCATCCCACCCCCGCTGTCGCTCCCGCGGGAATTCCCACTGCTCTGCCCCAGTCTCGCGGCACCTGCGGCACCTCCTGGCAAGGACCAATCAGAAGAAACCCAAATTGCGCAAGAAACCCAAGCCCCAGAGCGAGGAGATCCCGGGTAGGGGGCTCGTTAATTAATGGGGTAATTAATAGCGGCCAGGTACACTTGGCGTCCTGTAGGTAGTAATGTTATTATTAATAATATTACTAGTATTAGTACTAATATTGGTGTTAGTAGTGATATTATAAGTCTATTAATTGGGGTAATTAATAGCGGCCAGGTACACTTGGCGTCCTGTAGGTAGTAATGTTATTATTAATAATATAAGCAGTATTAGCGTTAGTATTAATATTAGCATTACTAGTATTAGTACTAGTAATAATATTGGTATTAGTAGTGATCATATTAGTCTATTAATTGGGGTAATTAATAGCGGCCAGATAGGCTTGGCATCCTGTAGGTAATAATGTTATTATTAATAATAGTAGTAGTATTAGTGTTGGTATTAATATTAGCATTACTAGCATTAATATTAGTATTAGTATTAATATTAGTGTTAGTAGTGATATTATAAGTCTATTAATTGGGGTAATTAATAGGGGCCAGATAGACTTGGTGTCCTGTAGGTAATAATGTTATTATTAATAATATTAGTAGTATTAGTGTTGGTATTAATATTAGCATTAGTAGTATTAGTATTGGTATTAGTATTATTATATTGATTGGGTTAATTAATAGGGGTCAGATAGAGTTGGTGTCATGTAGGTAATATTATTATTAATAATATTAGCAGTATTAGTGTTGGTATTAATATTAGCATTAGTATTATTAGTATTTGTGTTAGTGGTAATATTATTATTCTATTAATTGGGGTAATTAATAGGGGTGAGATAAAGTTGGTGTCAAGTAGGTATTAATATTATTATTAATAATAGTAGTATTAGTAGTATTATTGTTGGTATTAATATTAGCATCATTAGTATTGATATTTGCACTAATATAATTATTATATTAATTGGGGTAATTAATAAGGCTCAGGTAGAGCTGGTGTCCTGTAGTAATAATATTAATATTAGTGGTATTAGTGGTATTAGTGCTAGTAGTATTAGCATTGGTATTAATATTAGCATTAGTATTATTAGTGTTGGTATCAGTAGTAATAATATTATTCTATTAATTGTGGTGAGATAAAGTTGGTGTCGCATAGGTAATAATATTATTAATAATAATATTAGTAGAATTAATAGTGTTAGTGTTGGTATTGATATTAGCATTAGTATTATTAGTATTGATATTAGCAGCAATATAATTATTATTCTATTAATTGGGGTAATTGATAGGGCTCAGATAGACTTAGTGTCATGTAGGTAATAATATCAATATTATCAATATTAGTAGTATTAGTGTTGGTATTATATTAGTGTTAGTATTATTAGTATTGCTATTAGTAATAATATAATTATTGTTCTATTAATTGGGGTAATTAATAGGGGTCAGAGAGAGTTGGTGCAATTTATGTAATAATAATATTAATGTTAGTAGTGTTAGTGTTGGTACTGATATTAGTGTTGGTATTATTAGTATTGGTATTAGTAGTAATATTGTTATTATATTAATTGGGGTAGTTATTAGGGCTCAGATAAACTTGGTGTTGTGTAGATAATAATATTATTAATAATATTAGTAGTATTAGTGTGGGTATTAATATTAGCATTAGAATTATTGGCATTGGTATTAGTAGTAATATAATTATTATTCTATTAATTGAGGTAATTAATAGGGGTCAGACAGAGTTGGTGTCACTTATGTAATATTATTATTAATATTAGTAGTATTAGTACTATTAGTGTTAGTAGTATTAGTGCTGGCATTAATATTAGCATTAGTATTATTAGTATTGGTATCAGTAGTAATATTATTATTATATTAATTGGGGTAATTAATAAGGGTCAGAGTTGGTGTTGCATAGGTAATAATATTATTATTAATAATATTATTAGTATTAATGTTGGTATTAATACTAGCATTAATGTTATTAGTATTGATATTAGTAGTAATATTATAATAATAATTGGGGTAATTAATAGGGTGTAATTTATATAATAATATTAGTAGTGATAGTAGCATTAATATAATTAGTGTTAGTACTCATATTAATATTGGTAGTACTATTAGTAATAATATTAATATGATAATATTAATTGGGGTAATTAATGGGGTGAGATAGAATTGGTGTAATTTCTACAATAATACTCTTATTAATATTAGTGCTAATATAATTAGTGTTAATATGAATATTAATCTTGGTACTATTTTTTGTATTAGCAGTAGAGTTAGAATTACTATTAATATCATTATCATATTAATTGGTGTAATTAATAGGTGTCAAAGTTGTTGTAAATTATGTAGTAATAATATTATTTATATTATTAATATTAATAATAAGTATTATTTGTAGTATTAGCACAATATGAAAAATAAATTGTAAGATGGATATTAACATTAATATTAACAAACATTAATATTAATAAATATTGCATTAATCATTACTCTTAGTTTTAATATTAGTATTAATACAGGTATAAATATTGTACTAATATTACTATTATTTAAAGAATCATTAAAATTATCATCCATTAATATGGATGTTAATAGTAATAGTAATAATAAATAGCAATATTAATACATAATGCAATAATTATATTCTTATTTATGTTATAAATATTGGTATTATTAGTATAATTAATATTAATAGTATTATTAGCATTAGGATAATATTACTGTTCTATTAATAATAAATAGCAATATTAATACATAATGCAATAATTATATTCTTATTTATGTTATAAATATTGGTATTATTAGTATAATTAATATTAATAGTATTATTAGCATTAGGATAATATTACTGTTCTATTAATAACAAATAGCAATATGGATGTTACTATTAATGTATATTTCTAATAATTAATTAATACATGGAATACATACTATTATAACATATAATATTATTAAAAATATATAATATATAGTTTTATAAAATATTAATTCTAATGATATGCCAAATTATAAATTATATAATTGATATGTATATTAATCTTCAATCTAATAATATATCCATAATTATAAATCTTATATAGTTTGATAAATATAGCATTAAATACAGTTTTTAAATTAAATATTAATTATCTTATAAAACATTAATTTTCTTATTAATTAATAAATACCTATTATTTAATATGCAGATTATAACACATTATGATGTAATTATATACAATACAATATCTAAAATTACAATCATTATTTAATAAAATAAGTAATTATAACACTTAATAAAATATTATATTGCTTTATTAACAATAATAATAACATTTATAATTCTAATAATTATTAAGTTATTAATTATTTTGTATATAATTTTATCTTTAACATTAGATATATCATTATTACATTATTAGTATTATGTGTACTATAATTAATAATATGCATAATTATCAATAACTAATAATTACTACATTAATTATATATTGATGAATAAAATATTTTTCTATATTACTACATAAAATATTATTCCTAAATTAATAATTTAATATTACTAATTAAAAAATAATTAATTTTATTACTATATCTAGCACTTAAGGTAATTAATATAATAATGAAATCGTTTAATTCATATAATTAATATTATAATTTAATTGTCATCATTTATTCAATGAACAGAATTAATTTAATTGAGAAAATCCCCCAAAATTATTTATAACATGGATTATTAATTATCATATTTATAATGGTAATAATTATTAAAAGTTATTAATAATGATGAATGTATAACTTTACCATTAAATATATAGATATTTATTATTAATATTTATTAATATGTACAATATTTATGAAACTATTAATTTAATGTAGATAATCAAGGAAATTACATTTAATTAAATGTTTATTAATAGTATTAATAATCAATAAAGTTTAAATTATTATTTAATAATATTACTTTATTATAATACTCTAATATAATAGAAATCATAGAATTAATAGAATTTGAATAATTGAATTATATAATTAATATAATTTAATTAATGAATTGAATTGAATATTGTCATTAATTCAATTAATTAGTACAAATAATTTGATTGAGACGATCCCCTCGGAATCTCCGCTGGGATCGAGTGGAATTCGGGATCCACCAGGAGGAACCTCCAGGGGACACCAGGGAAGGGCCTGGGGGGCTCCAGGAGGGGCTGGTCCTTCAAAAACCGGGATCGGATCCCACCGGATCCCACCACGTCCCACCAGATCCCACCAAGTCCCACCAGATCCCACCAGATCCCACCACATCCCACAAAGTCCCACCGGATCCCACCAAGTCCCACCAGATCCCACCAGATCCCACCAAGTCCCACCAGATCCCACCAGATCCCACAAAGTCCCACCAGATCCCACCACATCCCACCAGATCCCACCACATCCCACCAGATCCCACAAAGTCCCACCAGATCCCACCACATCCCACAAAGTCCCACCAGATCCCCCCAGATCCCACAAATTCCCACCAGATCCCACAAAGTCCCACCAAGTCCCACCAGATCCCACCAACCCCACCCCCCGGAGCTCCTTGATCCCCCTTCTCCCGGGCTGCATCCCGAAGTCCAGCCCGCTCTCCTGGCGGGGCGTTGGTTGGGATGTTCCTCACAGGTCCCTTCCCACCCCAACCATTCCATCATCGGAATCCACGGTTTGAGGCCACCCGCTGGCGGATGTCCAGAAGGTTCCGCCAGATCTCCAGAGCTCCTTCTGGGATGGTCCAGAAAGTTCCATCCATTCCCCAGGGCTGTTGGGACGGTCCAGAAGGTTCCACCAGATCCCTAGAGCTCCTCCTGGGATAGTCCAGAAGGTTCCACCAGGTGTCCAGAGCTCCTTCTGGGATGGTCCAGAAGGGTCCACCAGGTCTGCAGGGTTGTTGGATGTCCAGAAGGTTCCGCCAGATCCCCAGAGCTCCTTCTGGGATAGTCCAGAAGGGTCCACCAGGTCTGCAGGGTTGTTGGATGTCCAGAAGGTCTCACCAGGTCCCAGAGCTTTTCCTGGGATGAGCCAGAACATCCCACCAGATCTCCACCTGGGATGGTCCAGAAGGTTCCACCAGATCCCCAGAGCTTCTTCTGGGATAGTCCAGAAGGTCCCACCAGGTCTCCAGGGCTTCCTCTGGGATGGTTCAGGAGGTTGAAGGTTCCACCAGGTCCCTAAGGCTCTGGGAATGATCCAGAAGGTTCCATTAGTTCCCCAGGGTTGTTGGGATGGTCCAGAAGGTCCCGCCAGGTCCTAGAGCTTTTCCTGGGATGGGCCAGAACTTCCCAACAGGTCTCCACCTGGGATAGTCCAGAAGGTTCCACCAGGTGTCCAGAGCTCCTTCTGGAATAGTCCAGAAGGTCCCACCAGGTGTCCAGGGTTTCCTCTGGAATGGTTCAGGAGGTTGAAGGTTCCACCAGGTCTCCAAGACTCTGGGAATGATCCAGAAGGTTCCACTGGGTCCCCAGGGTTGTTGGGATGGTCCAGAAGGGTCCACCAGGTCTGCAGGGTTGTTGGATGTCCAGAAGGTCTCGCCAGGTCCCAGAGCTTTTCCTGGGATGAGCCAGAACATCCCACCAGATCTCCACCTGGGATGGTCCAGAAGGTTCCACCAGGTCTGCAGGGCTGTTGGATGTCCAGAAGGTTCCACCAGGTCTCGAGAGCTTCTTCTGGGATAGCCCAGAAGGTCCCAGAGCTTTTCCTGGGATGAGCCAGAACATCCCACCAGGTCTCCACCTGGGATGGTCCAGAAGGTCCCACCAGGTCTCCAGGGCTAGTTCTGGGATGGTCCAGAAGGTTGAAGGTTCCACCAGGTCCCAAGGCTCTGGGAATGATCCAGAAGCCCCCACCAGGTCCTCAGGGTTGTTGGGATGGTCCAGAAGGATCCACGAGGTCCCAGAGCTTCTTCTAGGATCATCCAGAATGTCCTGCCAGGTCTCCAGGGCTTCCTCTGGGATGGTCCAGAAGGTTCCACCAGGTCCCCGGGGCTGTTGGGATGATCCAGTAGGTGCCACCAGGTCTCCAGGGCATCTTCTGGAATGTTCCAGAAGGTCCCATCAAGCCTGCAGGGTTGTTGGGATAGGTGTCATCTCCTCACTGAAGGACATCAGGAAGAGGGAATGGGATGAAGATGGAAGTGGTGGGATCTGGAGAAGACAGACGGGATGGGAGTGGTGACCATGGCAGCGGTGGCCCCCAAAAGCCACCCCAGATGGAGCCACCACGGAGCTCCACATTTGGTGGTTCCTCCAAGGTTCTTGTGAGGTTTGAGGTCCTCCTCAAGCCCCCCATGAGTGGCAACAAGGATGGAGATGGAGCAGCACCGTGGGGACGGGAAAGGGATGGGAAAGGACCTCTTCCAGGTCCTGGAGGTGACATCCCACCGTCCTGGAGGTGACATCCCACCACCCAGCGTGTCTTCTCTTGCAGGGGTGGCCATCAGCACTTACGCCAAGTACTGCTACAACAAACTCCAGAAGGCGGCGCTGACCGGGGCCAAGAAGGTACCAGAAAATGGGGTGGGCTTGGGAAGGGGTGGACGAGGAGGTCACCTCCCACCGGGGTCATCCCGGAGCTCCTGGGATTCAGGAAGGGGCTGGAGGAGGGAGGGAGGTGGTGGTGGGTGGTGATTGTGGTGAGGAGAACTTCTGGAGACCAGGAGATCTTCTGGAGAGCGTCTGGGGATCATCTAAGGACCTTCTAGAGAACTTCTGGGAACCTTCTGGAACATTTCTGGAGAACTTCTTGTAGGGAGCTTCTGGGAAGCTTTTGAGGATCTTCTGAAGAACTTCTGAGATCCTTCTGGGAACCTTCTGGAAAGCTTGACAGGATCTTCTGGGCACCTCTTAAAATCTGTCTGGGGATCTTCTGGAGACCTTCTGAGAACTTTCTGAAGACTTCTGGAGATCTTCTGGAAATTTTCTGGAGAGTTTCTGATAATCTTGTGAAGACCTTTCGAGGACCTTCTGGGAACCTTCTGGAACCTTCGCTGGGTCTTCAGAAGACATTCCAGAGACCATCTGGAGATCTTCAGACCTGAAAACCTTGCAAGGAGGACATTCTGGGAATTTTCTAAGGAACTTCTAGAGAACTTCGGGGATTCTTCTGGAGACCTTCTGAAGACTTTCTGGAGACCTTTTAAGGACCTTCTGAAGACATGCTGGTGACTGAGGATCTTCTGGAGATCTTCTGGAAACTTTCTGGAGATCATCTGGGAATTCTTTGAAGATCTTGTAGGGATCTTCTGGGAACCTTTTAAGGATCTTCAGGAGAACTGAGACTTCTAGAGACCTTCTGAAGACTTTCTGGAAACCTTCTGGAGACCTTTTGGGGATTTTCTGGGGACTTTCTGAAGACATTGCAGAGACAAACAGGTGATCTTCAAGAGACCTTCTGCAAACTCTCTGGAAACCTCCTGGGAGCTGTCCAAGGAACTTCTGGAGACCTTCTGGAAACTCTCTGGAGACCTTCTGAAAACCTTATAGGGAGGGACCTTCTGGGAACTTTCTAAGGAACTCCTGAAGACCTTCTGGAAGCCCAGTGCCAATGTTCAGCTTTCCAGAAGCATCCCAGAGTTGTGGCTCTTTCTCCTGGCAAAATCCATCAGTGGAGATCCTCCAGCGTGGCCATGGTCCCACCAAGCTCCATAGGGTTGGATCCACTTCTGAATCTGGATGGATGGATGGATGGATCCATGGATGGATCCATGGATGGATCCATGGATGGATCCATGGATGGATCCATGGATGGATCCATGGATGGATCCATGGATGGATCCATGGATGGATCCATGGATGGATTGATGGATGGTTGGACGGATGGTTGGACGGATGGATGGATGATGGATGGATGATTGATGGATGGATGGATGGATGATGGATGGTGGAACCACCTTGACCAAGTTGCCTGGAATCCATCCATGGCTCCATCACCATCCCCATGAAGATCAACCAGGGGGGTTTAGGGATTGAGCAGATCCCACCCTGGCCACCACGGAGGCCACCGGTGACCTCTGGTGTCTCCTGCAGGGCCTGAAGAAGCCAAACATCGAGGAGATCCGTCACGCCAAGAACGCCGTCTTCAACCCGTCCATGTTCGGCAGCTCCCTGCAGGACATCGTGGCCATGCAGAAGGAGCGGTACCCGGACCGGCAGCTGCCCTGGGTGCAGACCCGGCTCTCCGAGGAGGTCCTGGCACTCAACGGGGACCAGACCGAGGGCATCTTCAGGTAAAGCCACCCCTCGGTCATGGGGACACGTCAAGGTGGTGGCAAGCTGGAGGTTCTCATAAGAATTGTCTCAAAATGGGGCAAGTTCACGTTTCTGGGCGTTCTTCTCCTCTGGTGGGTGCTCCAAGGCCATGGGGGTTTCTTCATGGTGGCCACCAAAGTCATGGCAAGGCCTTGGTGGCAACATCCACTGGGTCCCTCCAACTTCTCCTTGGGGGTTTCTCCATGGTGGCCACCAGAGTGATAGCAGGGTCTTAGTGGCACCAAGCTCCCAAAACAGCTCCAAGGCCATGGTGGTTTCTCCACAGTGACCACCAAAGTCATGGCAGTGTCTTGGTGGCACCATCCAGTGGGTCCCTCCAGCTTCTCCTTGGTCCAAGACCATAGAGGTTTCTCCACAGTGGCCACCAGTCATGGTGGGGTTTTGGTGGCACCAAGCTCCCAAGATGGCTGCAGGGCCAGGGAGGTTTCTCCATGTTGACCACAAGTCATGGTGGGATCTTGGTGGCACCAACAATCTCCCAAGATGGCTCCGGGGTCATGGAGGTTTCTCCATGGTGTCCCCCAAGATGGGGTCTTGGTGGCACCAACCAGCTCCATGCCCAGCTGATGTCCCCTCCTGGTCCTCCCGGAGCACCCAAAGCTGTTGGGCTGGGAGGTCCCCATCGGTCTCTCGGCCACCGACGCTTCTTCCCCCCACAGGGTCCCCGGTGACATCGACGAGGTCAACGCCCTCAAGCTGCAGGTGGACCAATGGAAGATCCCCACCGGCTTGGAGGACCCGCACGTTCCCGGTAGGACCTCGGGGCGATGTTTGGTGGGACCAGAACCTCCATCTAGAAGATCTCACACCTTCTCCTCTTCTCCGTGTCCTCTCCAGCGTCGCTGCTGAAGCTGTGGTACCGCGAGCTGGAGGAGCCGCTGATCCCCCACGAGTTCTACGAGCAGTGCATCTCCCACTACGAGAACCCCGAGGCCGCCATCGCCGTCGTCCACTCCCTGCCCCGGATCAACAAGATGGTGCTGTGCTACCTCATCCGCTTCCTCCAGGTACAACAGCACCTTCTGCTGGCCCACCAGGTGGCCTCCAGGTCTGGTTCCTTCTCTTGAGGTGGTTTTGGGTTCTTTGAGGTCACCATGTGGTGGCCAAGAAGCAGGACTTCCACCAAATCCATCACTTCCATTTTCCTCCTCCCGTTCCATGAGTTCGTGTTCCTGGTGACTCTCCTGCTTCTGGTTTTGGGTTCTCCAAGGTCACCACGTGGTGACCCCCATCTCCCTCAAGAACCAGGAGGTCCCTGTGGTCCTTCCACCCATCTCCCATCAACCCCATCACCTTCATCTTCCTCCTCCCACCCAAGGTGTCTGTGTCCTCTTGTGTGACCTCTAGGCTTGGTTCCTTCTCTTGAGGTGGTTTTGGATTCTCCAACTTCATCACATGTTGACCAAGAACCAGGAGTTCCACCAATCCCATCACCTCCATCTTCCTCTTCCCACCCCATAAGTTGGTATTCCTGGAGACCCTCCTGGTTCCCTCTCCTGAGGTGGTTTTGGGTTCTTCGAGGTCACCATGTGGTGGCCAAGAACCAGGAATTCCACCAATCCTATAATCTCCATATTTCTCCATCCACCCCATGATTTCATGCTCCTGGTTGATTGTCCTGGTTAATTCTCCTCAGATAGTTTTAGATTCTCCAGCTTCACCATGTTGGTGGCCAAGAACTAGAAGTTCCACTAATCCCATCGTCTCCATCTTCCTCCTCCCACCCCATGAGTTCATGCTCCTCATTGACCCTCCTGGTTCCTTCTCCTGAGGTGGTTTTGGCTTCTCCAAGGTCACCATGTGGTGTCCAAGAACTGGAAGTTCCACCAACCCCATCATCTCCATCTTTCTCCTCCCATTCCATGAGTTGGTGCCCCTGGTGACCTCCTGGTTCCTTCTCCTGAGGTGGTTTTGGCTTCTCCAAGGTCACCACGAGAAGAACCGAGAGTTCCACCAATCCCATCACTTCCATCTCCCTTCTATCACTCCATGAGTTTGTGCCCCTGGTTGACCCTCCTGCTTCCTTCTCCTGAGGTGGTTTTGGCTTCTCCAAGGTCACCACCTGGTGAAGAACCAAGCCCACATGGTCCTTCCACCCATCTCCCACCAACCCCTTGACCTCCACTTTTCTCCTCCCACCACCCCTAGGTCTTCGTGCAGCCGGCCAACGTGGCCGTCACCAAGATGGACGTCAATAACCTGGCCATGGTGATGGCCCCCAACTGCCTGCGCTGCCAATCGGACGACCCGCGGATCATCTTCGAGAACACGCGCAAGGAGATGTCCTTCATCCGTGTCCTCATCCAGCACCTGGACACCAGCTTCATGGAGGGCGTCCTATAGCGGCTGCCACCGCGCTGTCCCCACCCCGCCACCGGCCCCCTGTCCCCTCCGAGGGTCAAAGTCCCCAGGTGGTGGCACCGATCTCCACCAAGAAACAGGAGATCCATGAGGTTCTCCACCGTGTGGTGAGCGCCATCTCCGCCAAGAACCGGGAGGTCTGTGAGGTTCTCCAAATTCACCGTGTGGTGAGCTCCATCTCCACCAAGAACTGGGAGGTCTGTGAGGTTCTTCACCATGTGGTGAGCGCCATCTCCACCAAGAACCGGGAGGTCTGTGAGGTTCTCCAAATTCACCATGTGGTGAGCTCCATCTCCACCAAGAACCAGGAGGTCTGTGAGGTTCTTCACCATGTGGTGAGCGCCATCTCCACCAAGAACCGGGAGGTCTGTGAGGTTCTCCAAATTCACCATGTGGTGAGCTCCATCTCCACCAAGAACTGGGAAGTCTTTGAGGTTCTTCACCATGTGGTGAGCGTCATCTTACCAAGAACCAGGAGGTCTGTGAGGTTCTCCACCACATGGTGAGCTCCATCTCCACCTAGAACCAGGAGTTCCATGCGATTCTTCACCATGTGGTGAGCTCCATCTCCAAGAACCGGGAAGTCTGTGAGGTTCTCCAAATTCACCACGTGGTGAGCTCCATCTCCAAGAACCGGGAAGTCTGTGAGGTTCTCCACCACCTGGTGAGCTCCATCTCCAAGAACCGGGAAGTCTGTGAGGTTCTCCACCACCTGGTGAGCTCCATCTCCAAGAACCGGGAAGTCTGTGAGGTTCTCCACCACCTGGTGAGCTCCATCTCCAAGAACCGGGAAGTCTGTGAGGTTCTCCACCACATGGGGAGCTCCATCTCCACCTAGAACCAGGAGTTCTATGCGATTCTTCACCATGTGGTGAGCTCCATCTCCACCAAAAACCAGGAGTTCCGTGAGGTTCTCCAAATTCACCACGTGGTGAGCTCCATCATCAACAAGAACCGGGAGGTCTATGAGGTTCTCCAAATTCACCACGTGGTGAGCTCCATCATCAACAAGAACCGGGAGGTCTATGAGGTTCTCCAAATTCACCACGTGGCGAGCTCCATCTCCACCTAGAACCAGGAGTTCCATGAGATTCTTCCCCACGTGGTGAGCTCCATCTCCACCAAGAACCAGGAGTTCCATGAGGTTCTCCAACTTCACCACATGTGAGCTCCATCTCCAGCTGGACCTCATGGACGGAGGGTATCCAGGGATTGTCTCCGTCCTTTCCCGCCCGGACAAGGAGAAGTCCTTGAGGTCCATCCCGACCTTCTGGCTGTGTCACTGCCTGGTTCTTCGCTGCGGGAATCACGAGGAACATCCTGGATCTGTGGGGTCTCCATGGGGTTGGGAAGGTGGGAGAAGTTCACCTGGACACCAGGGGACTACAGTGACATTTCTCCACCACAGGGAAAAGACCTGGGAGGTCCCCATGGGACTGGTGGCCCTGGGGGGGGGTTGTGTCACCATGTCACCATGTCCATCCTGTCCCACACACATTGGCACCACCAGGACCTGTCTCGGAACCCACCGGGTCTGTTGGACCTGTCCCAGGACCTCCCATCTGCTCCTGGTTCTTCTGGGCCCATCTTGGGGTCCATCATCTCCTCCTGGCCCTCCTGAGCCCATCATGGGGTCCATCATCTCCTATTGGTCCTACAGGACCCATCTTGGGGTCCACCATCAACTCCTGGAGCCATTTTGGGGTCCATCATCTCTTCCTGGTCCTCCTCGGGCCATACTGGGGTCCACCATCAACTCCTGGAGCCATTTTGGGGTCCATCATCTCTTCCTGGTCCTCCTCGGGTCATACTGGGGTCCACCATCAGCTCCTGGAGCCATTTTGGGGTCCATCATCTCTTCCTGGTCCTCCTCGGGCCATGCTGGGGTCCACCATCAACTCCTGGAGCCATTTTGGGGTCCATCCTCTCCTCCTTGCCCTCCTGGGCCCATCTTGGGGTCCACCATCAACTCCTGGAGCCATTTTGGGGTCCGTCATCTCCTCCTCATCCTCCTGGACCCATCTTGGCCCTCATCACCTCCCCCAGCTTCTGCTGGACCTGTTTTGGTGCCCTTTCCCTCCTCCTCCTGGACCCATCCTGGTGTTCATCTTCTCCTGGCCCTCCAGGTCTCACCTTGGTGTCCATCTCCTCCTGCTCCTGCTGGACCCATCCCGGTGTCCCCAGTGTCCTCCAGGACCCATCTTGGTGTCCCCAATCTCCTCCTGGACCCACCTTGGTGGCCCCCATCGCCTCCAGGTCCAACCCTGGTGCCCCCAAATCTCCACCTGGTCCTGCCCAACCCACCTGGGCACCATCATCTGCTCCAGATCCCACCTGAGCACCCCCCAAATCCCTCCAGGTCCTCCTGGTCCCCCCAGATCTCCATCAGGTCCCGTCCTGGTGACCCCAACCAAACTTGGTGCCTCCACCTCTTCCAGGTTTCACCTTGGTGACCCCAAATCTCTTCCAGGTCCTGCGGGTCCCACCTTGGTGCTCCCATCACCTCCAGGACCCATCTTGGTGACCCCAAATCTTCTCCAGGTCACATCTTGGTGCCCTCAATCTTCTTCAGGACCAACCTTGGTGCCCCCAGTCTTCTTCAGGACACCATCATCTGCTCCAGGCCCACCTGGGCACCCCCCAGCTTCCACCAGGTCCTCCAGGACCCACCTTGGTGCCCCCCAGTCTCCAGCAGGTCCCACCTTGGTGCCCCAACCTCTTCCAGGTCCGCCAGATCCCACCTGGGCAACCCCAAATCTCCACCAAGTCCCACCTTGGTGCCCTCCAGCTTCCAGCAGGACCTCCTTGGTGCCCCCACCACTTCCAGGTCCCACCTTGGTGACCCCCAATTTCCAGCAGGTCCCAACTTGGTGACCCCAAATCTCCTCCAGGTCCCACCTTGGTGACCTCAAATCTCCTCCAGGTTCCATCTTGGTGACCCCAAATCTCCTCCAGGTCCCACCTTGGTGACCATAAGTCTTCTCCAGGTTCCACCCTGGTGACCCCAATCTCCAGCGGGTCCCTCCTTGGTGCCCCCACCACTTCCAGGTCCCACCTTGGTGCTCCCAAATCTCCTCCAGGTCCTCCACATCCCACCCTGATGGATCCCAACCTCTTCCAGGTCCCACCTTGGTGACCCCCAATCTCCTCCATGTCCCACCTTGGTGACCCCAAATCTCCTCCAGGTCCCACCTTGGTGACCCCAATCTCCAGCGGGTCCCACCTTGGGGCCCCCCACCACTTCCAGGTCCCACCTTGGTGACCCCTAATCTCCAGCAGGTCCCACCTTGGTGACCCCAATCTCCAGCGGGTCCCACCTTGGTGCCCCCCACCACTTCCAGGTCCCACCTTGGTGACCCCAAATCTCCAGCAGGTTCCATCTTGGTGACCCTAAATCTTCTCCAGGTTCCACCCTGGTGACCCCAATCTCCAGCGGGTCCCTCCTTGGTGCCCCCACCACTTCCAGGTCCCACCTTGGTGCTCCCAAATCTCCTCCAGGTCCTCCACATCCCACCCTGATGGATCCCAACCTCTTCCAGGTCCCACCTTGGTGACCCCCAATTTCCAGCAGGTCCCAACTTGGTGACCCCAAATCTCCTCCAGGTCCCACCTTGGTGACCTCAAATCTCCTCCAGGTTCCATCTTGGTGACCCTAAATCTTCTCCAGGTTCCACCCTGGTGACCCCAATCTCCAGCGGGTCCCTCCTTGGTGCCCCCACCACTTCCAGGTCCCACCTTGGTGCTCCCAAATCTCCTCCAGGTCCTCCACATCCCACCCTGATGGATCCCAACCTCTTCCAGGTCCCCCCTTGGTGACCCCCAATTTCCAGCAGGTCCCAACTTGGTGACCCCAAATCTCCTCCAGGTCCCACCTTGGTGACCCCAATCTCCAGCGGGTCCCACCTTGGTGCCCCCCACCACTTCCAGGTCCCACCTTGGTGACCCCAAATCTCCAGCAGGTTCCATCTTGGTGACCCTAAATCTTCTCCAGGTCCCATCTTGGTGACCCCACCTCTTCAGCAGGTCCCATCTTGGTGACCCCAAGGTCCCACCCTTGGTGTCCCCAAATCTCCTCCAGGTCCTCCATGTCCCACCCTGATGGACCACAACCTCTTCCAGGTCCCACCTTGGTGACCCCAGATCTCCTCCAGGTCCCACCTTGGTGACTCCAAATCTGCTCCAGGTCCCACCTTGGTGACCCCAAACCTCCAGCAGGTTCCATTTTTGTGACCCCAAATCTCCTCCAGTTTCTACCTTGGTGACCCCAGATCTCCTCCAGGTCCCACCCTGGTGACCCCCAATGTCCATCAGGTCCCCCAAAATGAAGAGGTCCCCACAATGGGGGGTTCCTCAAGATCTTGAGATGGTCCTCGAGGCAGGGATGGGGTCCCCAAAATGGCAGGGGGTCCATGGAGGGGTCCCCAAAACCCTGGGAGGGTCCCCAAGGCCTCAGGGGTCCCCAAAGTGGAGAAGGTCCCCAGAAATGGGGGGGATCCCATGGGTGGGATGTCCCCAAAATGGGGGGGTCACCAAGATGGGGACGGGGTCACCTAAATGGGGGGTCCCATGGAGGGGTCCTCAAAATGGGGGGTCCCCAAGGGATGAGTGGTCCCCAAAGTGGAGAAGGTCCCCAAAATGGGAGGGTCACCAAGGTCGGGACAGTCCCCAAAATGGGGGGGTCTTATGGAAGGGGTCCTCAAAATGGGGGTCCCCAAACTGGAGAAGGCCCCAAAATGGGGGAGTCCCATGGGTGGGAGGTCCCCGAAATGGGGGGGTCATCAAGGTGGAGAAGGTCCCCAAAATGAGGGGGGGTCCCATAGAGAGGTCCCATGGGTGATGTTCCCAAAATAGGGACAGTCCCCAAAATGGGGGGTCCCATGGAGGGGGTCCCCAAAGTGGAGGTCCCCGAAATGGGAGGGGTCACCAAGGTGGGGACAGTCCCCAAATTGGGGGGGTCCCATGGAGGGGGTCCTCAAAATGGGGATGGTCCCCAAATTGGGGGGTCCCATGGGGGGTCCCAAAAGTGGAGAAGGTCCCCAAAATGGGGGGGGTCCCTTTGAAGGTCCCCAAAATGGGGGGGTTCCTTTGAAGGTCCCCAAAATGGGGGGGGTCACCAAGGTGGGGATGGTCCCCAAAGTGAAGAAGGTCCCCAAAAAGTTGAGGGGGCGGTCCCATAGGTAGGAGATCGTCAAAATGGGGTCACCAAGGTGGGGATGGTCCCCAAAGTGAAGAAGGTCCCCAAAAAGTTGAGGGGGCGGTCCCATAGGTAGGAGATCGTCAAAATGGGGTCACCAAGGTGGGGATGGTCCCCAAAGTGAAGAAGGTCCCCAAAAAGTTGAGGGGGCGGTCCCATAGGTAGGAGATCGTCAAAATGGGGTCACCAAGGTGGGGATGGTCCCCAAAGTGAAGAAGGTCCCCAAAAAGTTGAGGGGGCGGTCCCATAGGTAGGAGATCGTCAAAATGGGGTCACCAAGGTGGGGATGGTCCCCAGAATGGGGGGGGGTCCCATGGAGGGGACCCCCAAAATGGGGATGGTCCCCAAAATGGCCTCCCAAGGCCTGGGGAGGTCCCAAAAGTGGAGAAGGTGCCCAAAATGGGGATGGTCCCCAAAATGGGGGTCCTCTGGGTGATGTCCCCAAATTCGGGTGGGGGTCCCCAAATCGGGGTGCGGGGGGTCCCCAAACTGGGGGTGGTGGGGACAACCCAGCGCTACCTCCCAGCTCTGCTCACTGCCAGGGGACCCCCCCCTTTTCCTCGGCGTCCGCTTCATTAAGTTTTAATTAATTAATTCTTAATTAATTCCTGGGGCTCATTCATTAATTTTTAAATCATTTCCCCCCCCCTTCCCTTTTTTTTTTTTTTAAGCCTCGAGGTTTTTATTTATTATTATTATTATTAAAAAAAAATATGGAAAAAAAAAATATTAAAGGGACAGACCCGGCCCTCGCTCCCTCCCCGGGGTTTTCCCAGGATTCCCCCGGTCCCGGGAATTCCCTCGGGAATTCCTTCGGGAATTTTCCTCCCCTCCCCCGCCCCCCCCAAGAGGGGAGGTTCAATTTTGGGGTCCCCCCGAAAAGGGGCCGCCGAATTCTGTATTTGGGGGGGGGGGGGGGCTCCGGCTCCCCTCCCCCCCGCGTGTGAATAAAGCTCCGTATGGAAAGCGCTGCTGGTTCCTGGTGCCTTTGGAGCGGGACAAGGCGGGGATTTGGGATGGGAGGTGACAATTTGGGATTCTGTCCCCAAATGTCCCCAAGGCCGTGTTCCTCCGGTTCCCCCCGCTGCCCGTTCCCGCCCGGAGTCTTTTTATTGCCGCACCGACCTCGAAGGTGCTCCCCGCATTCCGGTCCCCCATGCCGCTACTTCCGGTCGCCGCTGTCGCGACAGGGCGCGGCCTCGCGGGGTCGCCGCTCGCTGTCGCGACAAAGAAGCCGCGAATGTTTTTATTCCCTGGATCAGCAGGGCCAGTGGGGGCTCTTTACAGGGGAATCTATAGGGGAAAGCCCCAAAAGGCCCCCGAGCCCCCCTAAAATCCCACAGGGAACCCCAAACCAGCCCAGGGAGCCTCCCCGTCCCCAGCGCCCCAAAACCAGCCCAGAGACTTCCCCGGGATCCCCAAAGCCACCGCAGGGACGCCATTGCCAACCACTCCCCGCCAGTTCCCGGGGTTCCCCTCAGGAATTCTCCCCTCACGAATTCCCGCCGCGGGCCCTCAGGAGGACCGGGCTGGGTTTGCGCCGCCGCTCCCGCAGGAATTCCGCTTCCCAGCGATTCGGCAGCGCCCTCAGCTCCCGGTGCCGCTCTGTGGCCGCTCTGGTCCCGGGATCGGGATCGGGATAGGGATAGGGATCGGGATCGGGACCGGGACCGGGACCGGGAATCGAGGGGAGCGCGGGGGGAAACCCGGGGCTGCCTCAGAGCGAACCTCCCGCTCTGACCGCGCGCTAGCCAATAGGAAGGCAGGGATTCGTGATCGACAGCGAAACAAGCCAATGAACATTAGAGTACCGCAAAGCGTCCGCCCACACACCAACAACCAAGGAAAAGCTACTATGAACTTTGACAGACAGCTGACAAAACCAATAGCATCGCGAGGCTCCGCCCCTAGGGCGGATCTCCCTCGCTGATAGGCGGACGCAGCGCGCAGACCCGGAGGTGGAGCTTCCGTACGGGCACGGGCGGGTGGGGGCTGCGGGCAGGCGGTGAGTGGGGGACGCCATGTTGGGGGGGGC